TTTTTTAAAGATGCTTTGATAGTAAAATTCAGCATTCTTCTTCTTCCTCTCCCCTTTTCCAGCTTTTGCCCTTAAAATGAAATTTACTAAATTATGTTATGATTTACAGCTAGGCTAGGATATCTGTGTGTTTAAGCCCAGCAATCCTCTTTCAGAAAATCCTTAATTAGTTGCCTTGTACCGTAATGTTAAAGAATTTTTGAAATTTCGAACATGGAATGTACAAACCCTTTATAGAGCTGGAATAGCTGAAGAACTCACCCATGGGCTATCCGAACACGGAATGGATATAACAGCAATTCAAGAAATAAAACAGGATAGGGTACCATAGTGTATGAAGGAAACACTTCAAACAAATAGGAACTAGGGACAGGATTTGTCATCAAGAAAAGGTTGTAGGAAAGTATTATACATTTTAAAGCTGTAAATGATAGGAGCCTGTGAGACCTGGACACTTACTAAACAAGCGGAACAGCGCATAAATGCATTTGAATATAAATGTTACAGACAGGTTCTAAGAATATCTTGGGTAAAGAAAAGAACAAATGCATTCATACTTCAAGAGCTGAATATTGAAGAGGGTTGGCTAGTAAAGACAATAAAACAAAGAAAATTGAAATATTTTGGTCACTTGAAACGTCATGGAGGTCTAGAGAGAACAATAATGGAGGGGTATATGCCTGGGAAGAGAGGAAGAGGAAGGCCAAGGAGAAGATGGGTGCAGGATGTGGCAGATGATCTCCAGATGGGTGTATCAGACGCAGGACATCTTGCTCTTGATAGGAAGGTTTTCCGGAGGGTTGTTATGGCAGCGAGGTTCCGCGAGGGACATGCTACTGAATGAATGAATGAAATGATAGGATCACTAAGTTACGAATAAAAAGAAAATGGAAAAATATCATGATGAAAAATGTGTCTGCCCCCACTGAAGATAAAGAGGACAATATTAAAGAAAATTTATATGATCTTCTTGAGAATATCAAAGAGGAAACTCAAAAATGGGACTTACAGATTGTCTTAGGAGATTTCAGTGCAAATATTGGAAGAGGAAAAATCTGTAAAAATGTAGCAGGCATGAAAAGCCTTCACACAAATTCAAATGAAGATTAATCTGTCTTGCAGTAGCCAAAGGACTACAGATAAGCAGCAACAGACTTCAAAGAAAAGATATACATAAACAAATTTAGCAATCTTGTGACAAGATATCTTATAATCAAATAGATCATATTTTACTAAATAGTAGAAATGAATCAAACATACAACATGTTAGAAGGAGCTAAGTGTCATAGTGACCACTACCTGATTGGTGCAAAATTAAAAATCAAGCTTTAGAGATCCTTCTACACCAGATGTTTTTTTGGATTTTAAAAAGGCGTATGACAATATATGTACATAATGTTTTTTTGTGGATTTGATTTCAAAAAGACATATATGATAGTATGCATAGAAACAGTTTATGGAACACTATGAAGGACTTTGGAAAGCTAAAGAAGTTAATTACTATGACCATACTATTTATGGAAGACACTTATAATATTGTGACATAAAAAGGCAGAAAGTCAGACCCTTTTCAAACAACATCTAATTTAAAGCAAGTTGACGCTCCGTCCCCACTTCTGTTCAACTTGGCCCTGGAAAAAATTATAAGGAAATTGAAACAAGAGTGTAATATAGGAGAAACTACAAGAATACTTGGATATGCTGATGACATTGCTTTTGCAGGAGAAAATGAACTAGAGACTGTAAAAACTTTGACTCTCTTAAAGGAATCAGCTCACAAAATGGGACCAGTTATCAATCAAAATAAGATAGAATACATTATAACGAGAGTGGCGCGGTGATTTATGTCACAGGCGTGAGGGGAAGTTAAGCCCAACATGATGTGTATAAGGAGATACTCCGTACGTCACTGGGGCGCCAGTCCTTCACTATCCTGGTTGTACAGATCCTCACGCAAGACCCCTACAGCACGTCCTCGTCGTGCGCCACGGATAATGTCTCAAATGAGCATTAACAGAGCTGTCAGGGGATCTCAGAGTTTGGCGGCCCCCAGAGGTGATGTGTCCTTGTGGCTCTCATCAGCCCGCCCCCAAACGCTTGGGTGAAACATGTTATCAAAACTCATTAGGAACATGAGTAGGGTTGACAAACATACAGCTAAAATTACAACCCTTGGTTAAAAGACTGCTGAGTATAGAGAACATTGCTCACTGCACATCCTCTGTTAATTCTCAGTGTCGTCGTCACCGCGCTGAGGGGCAACACAACAGCAACCATCCATGGGCTGGCCATCCTTGTGCATCCCCGGTTGGCCCTCAGTGTCGTCGTCACCGCGCTGAGGTGCACCACAACAACAACCATCCACAGGCTGGCCATTCACGTACATCCTCGGTTAACCCTCAGTGTCGTCGTCACCGCGCTGGGGTACACCACAACAGCAACCATCCATCAGATGGCTAAGCCTAAATGTCCGACAAAACTAGATCATACGGATCAAAATCTGACCATCAAAATTTGCACTGAACTGAAAGAGACCGAATACCCACACCCAAAGACCTCACTCGCCCGAGTGTTGGGAAAAACTGACAACGATATGCCTGATTCAGGATGTGAAATTCTGTCGGGCTAATGCACCTATCTGTGTGGTCACAAAAGTCCAAAACCCAAAGGCTGCTCCCCGCTGACTTCCAGAGGGCGCAGCCCCTGTCGAGCGGGAGGCCTGATACGGTTGTGATGTTAAGCAGGCATGTGCAGGACGTGACGATTCCTTGGGTGAGCCCAGAAACAGAGCGATATGTGCCGGCTCTGCATGCATGGAAGCCTCCTTGGATGGCGGGGAATGCCCATGATCTGCCCCTGCCTTCCCTTGAGGGCCAACTGTTCCACAGGGGGCTGCCCCAAAGGGTTACTCCGGGGGCAATACCTGCGGCGAAGGCGACAAAATGGACACCACACAAATCAGGCAACGTCTCGACCCACACAAAACAATGGCCACAGTCACCCTAGAAATAGGCCTGACGTCTTCCTTCGAAGTCGGCGTACAGCTGCCCAAGAGGCAGGGAAATGAAAAACGGTTGTACACGCAAAAATCAGGTCCAGGTGAAAGCCAAAAGTCCAAGCGGACGATTAACCGGGACCTTCCACTGGAATTCACAGCCGGTGTTCGATAAATAAAAAAAAAAAAAATTATAACAAGACAGATAAAGAATATAAACTCTAGCCACATAGAAGTCAATAATATAAAAATCAAACAAACAGAAACATATAAATACTTCAATTACACCAACATGCTGAGAGAAGAAATACAATCTAAAATATAATCTGGAAATAAAGTGTACTATGCCCTTCAACATCTGCTAAAGTTCAAGACTATCTCACAACACCAAGATCAGAATATATTAAACCTTCTCAAGACCAGTCTTTTTATATGGCTATGAAACTTGGAGCACAGCTTAAAGAGATAAAGGCTTATTACAGATTTTCGAAAACAGTCTTCCGATGAATCTTTGGACCCATTAAAGATGCAAATAGTGGGAAATGGAGACTGAGAAGCAGCAATGAAATTCATAATCTGTTTAAATCACCACTGATCACTGGCATCATGAGAGCTAATAGACTTAAATGGCTGGGGCATATTGAGAGAATATCAGATGATGAGATAAAAACTGTATATACAAGAGAGCTGAATTGTCGTATACCTCGAGGCAGACCAAGAAGGCAATGGAGAGATAATGCCCAGACAGACCTACAAACATTTGGTGTGTCACCAACTGGAAAGAGAAGGCCACCCAATGAGATGAGTGGAGGCGGGTAATATCTGTAATAATGAACAACCTCAAGGGCTCAGAATGCTGAAGAAAAAAGTTGCCTTTTACTGCATATAGACATTTGGTGCAGGAGACTTAGCATAAAATACCACAACATCCAGCTTAATAGTGGAGGTAGAGACGGTCACTGCAGCTTTCTGCTGGTTAGAGAAATTGACACACTCACACATCATGTTTGTAACTGACTCAGAAAGTATGTTTAGGAAGGTGAGGACAGGGGCATGCTTCATGCAGAGTGGCAGGCTTTGCTTCCGAGATCACAGGTGAGGGGCATTGTCTGGATCTTTTCTCCGGGGAATGCCGGTGTGTTGAGGAATGAACAGACAGACTGGCTGGCTCTGCACCACTTTGTGGAATTTTGCTGCATAAGACAGACATGGTTAGAGCCTTGTGGGAGAACGTGTACAATTCGGAGGAGCAAATGGATCACCACAGTCTGGTGAGAGTGATGCAGCAGAGAGTGACAAAGGGCTCTGGCCGATGCTCAACACTCAGAGGAAGGGCAAGACGGATGTATAGTCAGAGTGCTACTGTCACCATTGTATTGGAACTTTGCGCTGGCTACTGAAGATGGGTACGGAGTGCTTATGGGAATGCCAAGACTACTGTGATGTCGGTTCTTGAATCAACTCAACTCAGCTTTGTTTAGGGGACAGCCAGTCTGTTCTCACCCCTCCTTCTGACACACTAGATGAAAAAAACAGCATAGAAAAGACCACCAGCGCTATATAAAAGCTGTTTGCCATCATCGTCATGTTACAGTTGTTAGCACTTTCAAGTCAAAATCACTTCATAATTTGTAGCTCTTTCAAGGCAGGCTCAGATCACATATTGCTGCAGATGTCACCCGCCTCCACTTGTGTTTCTGGTTGGCCTTCTCTTTCCAGTTGGTGACACCAAATTTAAATAGGTTTGTCTGAATATTATTTCTCTTTTGTCTTCTTAGTCTGGTCTACGACCATTCAGCTCCATTATGTACAGTTTTTCTCTCTCTGTCATGGACATTCTCTCGATATACCCCAGCCATTTCAGTCTGTTAGCTCTCATGATACCTCTGTGTGAGAATGTCTTTTGTTGTTGTTGTTGTTGTTGTTGATTGATGCATTGTAATTTTTATATTTATGTATTTCAAGATATTTCAAACTGGGAACACATGTTGGTTTTTCCTTTCAGGTATTATTTGAACAGTTCAAGTTTTTCCTAAATCTTTATTTTCTGATCATGGCCTTGTCGCAGCTGATTCCAGAACTAAGAATTGGTTACCTCTACACCTACTGGGGACCCCTGGTGAGTTTTCATTTGAGTATCTCTGTGAGGTAATGACCTTGGCTCCACGGTCAACCCAGCCTTAAATGGGTACCAGGTACAGTCATGGGAAGTAAAGGCAGACGGGGTGGTGTTGACCACATCAACCACCCAGTACTGATTGGTCTTTAAATAGAGATCTAGCCCTATGTGCCCGATAAGTCTGAAGGCGCGGAAAATGGTCCGTTAATGTTTTCTTTACTTTGCCTTATCTGTGTGGGATGTAGGTGTGTGAAACCACACATGGTGGTGCACCAAGACCAAGGCTCAGTGGGGTTAATACCCAGATACACCTCTCAGTGATCTTCCTAGGCACGAGTTACCAACTGTGAACCTGGTCAACATAGATAGTATCAGCATTTCCTTCAAAGTTGGGTTGCATTTGTTTGAAAAGAAAGGAACTAACAGTCTGCATGCATACACACACACAAAAACTTGATCAGTAAAAGTGATGTGCACAGAAAACTCGTGTCCTGGAACAAGATGAAAGTCCAGAAGTGGATAAAGAACCAGGACTTTTCATTGGAGTTTACAGCTGGTGAACATAAAGAAGAAGGTCATCTGTGAGTCTGGCTTTTTGTCATAATCAAGTGCCTTGCCGGCTTGCGTAGGCATTCATGTATATCCACAGATCTCGGTCTTTGATGTTCTGGATCAATTCCACTGATGATATTCCTCCATGCCACTGTCTTAAGGCATCCACCCTCATTCTCCTGATCTGCCTCTGCCTCTTTATAAGTGATCTTTCCAGTCGTCACAATATTTTCCAGTGCTCCTTTTCTCATCACATGACCAAACAACTTTGTTTGTCTTCTTCTCATCGTTGAAAATAACTGTCTACTTCCATTAGCCATTTCCAGACAATCACTGTTGGTTATTCTGGCAGTTCAAGGTTTTCGCAAGATTCTTTTCAAGGACTACATCTCAGTTTCCATCCAAACTCTTCTTAATTTTTTTGTTCACATTCCAAGATTCACTGACATACAACAGAGCAGGTCTTGATGTACCATCTCAGCACTCGTTTTCTGATGTTTAATGAGAGTGATTTATTACATAGCTTTTTTTCTGAAAACTATGTAGTGTCCATTTTAATGTAAAAACACAGGGTCAGTACCACAAGCATGTCATCAAAAAGTGTCTAATTAGGTTTTTGCTGAAATCTAATGTGTTGGGCTGAAAGTTGCAAAAACTGTGGCCTAGCCGTAAACCTTACTTAACACAGTGTGCCAGCTGTCCTTTTGAGGACTAACAGAAGAAAAGAATAATTGCTGAGGATTGAACCCAGACCTCTACCATGGTTAGCAAGGGCCGTTACCGTTATGCTTTGAAAAACTACAGAAGTTAGTTTGACACAGACATAGCTTCTGATATTAGATTTGTACTCTTTCTGTCCCAACCAACGCACAGTATGTTATTAACTATTACCCATATGTATCATTGCAACACAACATCTGTTACATTTTTCATGTTGGCTTTTATGTGCTCAAGAAATATAGCTCAAATTTTAAGATGCCAAACAATGTTTATTGTGTTTTTAAAAGTGACACACGTTTATTTTGTGGTTTTGTGCCAGATTGGGTTTCTGCTGTGTAATTATTTGGGACCAGTAGGGTTAAAACTGTTGTTTTTCATCTCCTGTGTCCAGGGTTTTGTCTTGTTTGTGACCATGTGTCGGGAAGCTCTGGATGACTACAGACGGTACCGGCGAGACAAAGAGGCTAATTCCCAGAAGTACAAAAAACTGACCAGAGATGGGATTATCAGAATTCCAAGTTCAGACATTCAAGTGGGACATTTGATCATCTTAGAGAAGGTGCTCTTTAACAATTACATGTTTGAATGTCGGCTTTAAGTTAATGAATGTCACTCGCAGATTGCCAGTTGGTCTAGAAAATACAAGTCTGGTACTACATGCCTAATATGCCTTATGGTAGTATAGAGGATCCTTTACTTTCTTCTTTTGTCAAAATCTGCTTGTGCCGCTAGGCGTCGCAGTCTATCAGAATATCGGCAACCGAGCCAGGGCGCGCTCAGTCGCTTCATTTAACGTGATGTTATGAAGTCTCAAGTTGTCCGTGACTCCTTAATGCTAGGAGTTCTTCCCCTGCCTCTTGGTGTTTCGATTTTCATGTTGTATGCTCTTGATGCTGGCATCATTGGTTCCATTCTCATTAGTTGACCAAACCATTTCATTCTTTGCTTCTCAATAAATTTAACGATGGGTATTGTTCCAATAGTTCTTGTAATCACATCGTTCTCACTCTATCTCTTCTGGTTTTATTCGCAGCCATTCTCAAACATATCCTTTACTTTAATTTAACTTAATAACCAGATTTTGGGTAATGCTAGGAGTTCTTATCTCTTCAGCTGGCATTCTGGATTTTGCTTCATATTCTTTATCTGTCAAAAAGATTTTTTTTACCAGAGTACGCCGGTGTGTTGGGAAATGAACAGGCGGACAGACTGGCTGGCTCTGCACAGCTTGGTGGAATACTGATGCATGATAAGGCAGGCGTGGTTAGTGCCTTGTGGGAGAGCATGTACAGTTCGGAGGAGCAGATGGATCACCACAGTCTGGTGAGATTGATGCAGGGGGGAAGTGACGAGAGATTCTGGCAGATGCTTGAGGCTCAGAGGAAAGGCAAGACAGATGTTTAATGAGAATGCTACTGGCACCCTTTGCATTGGAACTCTTCGCTGGCTGCTGAAGATGGGGATGGAGCGCTTATGAGAATGCCCCGAATGCTGTGATGTTGGTTCTTGAATCAAATCAAATCAAAAGGATGGAAGTGATACTAACACGTGTGTGATCGGGAGCGCTGATAGACTGCAATGGTTAGGGCATATAGAGTGAGAATGGCAGTAATAGAGACAAAAACTGCATATACAAAAGGCAGACAAAGACGAAGTTGGAGAGATAATACACATACAGATCTACAAACACTTAAGAGTCCCAATGGGCAAAAGAAGGCAAATCACAGAGATGAATGGGTGTTGATGATATCTGCTGCTATAAACCCTGAGGACCCAAGAAGGCTGAAGAGGAAAACTAAAGCCATGTTCATTTTTTTAATTATTTGATTATACTAAAAAAAAGCTAAGGTCTTGATTTGTTTTTCTAAGAAAGCACAGTCATAATTGATTAATTTTATTATCACTATGAAAGTCAAATACAGAGTTTGTTGACTATGTTATTACCAGGAAAATAATGTACTTTGTCCTTGATAGTTTTTTTTTTTTTTTTTAATGGTGAAATCAGTAGTCACATAATCATTGATTGGTTGTTTTATTGCGCTAAAAAAATAATACACATAGACTTTCTGTCATTGGTTACGATAATACAAAGAAAGTTGCCTTTAATTTGTTATTTTTCCCCCAAAAAGTCACAAATACAGTCTTTGATTGATTACGTTATTGCCAAAGAAGTCACATACCTCGTCTTTGATTGGTTATGTTTTGATAGTAAGAAAGCCCATACACAATCTTTGATTGGTTGTTGTACTATACCAAGAAAGTCACATCACCTTTGATTGGTTAATTTTTCTTTTTACTTTGATTTGATTGTTGTCTTATAATAAATCCCTTTCTACAGAACCAGCGTGTGCCAGCGGATATGGTGCTTTTGAGGACATCAGAAAAGGATGGTGGTTGTTTTATCAGAACTGATCAGCTGGACGGAGAAACAGATTGGAAGCTACGTTTGGCTGTACAAGACACACAGCGACTGCAGACAAATGTGGCAAGTTCACTCCTCTCTAAGGGGCTTCTGCTTCCTAAAGTCCATGCCGTTAGATATCTGCTCACATATTGTCAATCATATTTTAGAATTTTAGACATATGTCCTGCCATGATGTGTGTGTATGTATGTGTGTGTGTGTGTACATACGTAATATATGTATGAAATCTCCTATGGTTCATTGGATAAAAAAAGTAACCAAGAATGTGAGACAAGAACATGGACATGATCTGTGATTCTGGTGATCTTATGAGGTGCCAGAACTTGACAGCCTGTGCTTATATATAAGCATATCACATGAGTAAGGTGATCAGGATTAGTTCTACTTAGTTTTTAAACTTTTTTTTTTAACCTAAGAAAAAAATGAGAAACACAAAACAAAAAAATGTTGACTATGGCAGTGAAGTCGGCGTCTGTGGCTTAGGCATTGATAACGCGCTTCGTAATGCCGGGGCTCCGGGTTCGATCCCAGCTGCGGACGATTTGTCTTGCATTGATTTCTACAGTGGTTCCGAGACTGCTCAGAAAGCAGTGGTAAACTACTGAACATAAAATTGGCCTAAACAAACCACAACAGCCAAAAAAGCTGGGGTTGGTTCTGCAACGTCCTGTAAAGGATACGCAACTAACTTTTTAACTTCAGAGCAATTAGGCAATATGGTATGATAGAATAACTAATGTAGAGCTTTGGGAGAGAACTAAACAGGCTCCAGTGGACCAAGAGGTGAGGAAAAGATGCTGGCGTTGGATAGGACACACTGAAAATACAGGAGAACAGCATAACTAGAATGTCTTTGCATTGGAAACCCACAGGGGCATAGGAATAAAGGAAGGCCAAAAAACACATGGAGAAGAGAGCTGGAGAGTGAAGTTAAAAAGATGGGGAGGACATGAGGAGAGCTCCATGTAATAGCGAAGGATAGAACAACTTGGCTTGATTTGGTTGAGGGCCTATGCTCCATTGGGGGATAGAAGGGCAGAAGAAGAAGAAGAATGAGTCAGCAACTTTGACATGATGATAGTTGCTCACAGAAAATGGGATTTTTCTATTTCTTCTTCTTCTGCATTCATTCTTGAAAAGGCAGTTAGCACCTGGTGTTGTGGTGTAAAGCTAGGCTGCAAAATTTATACATTTCGACCTAACACATTCGATTACAACAAACTTGTTATGTCACCTTCTATACCTACTTGTTATGGGGGAGTGAATCATCCTTTCCGCACCTTCCACTCCCAGAATCAGACTCTGAAACACACACATGGAGAGTTTTTCTAGTTAATTTGGAATTTCAACCACCCAATCTTATATTGAGGTAGATTTGGGAATTATTGATTGTTTACTTACTTACTTTTTCCTTCCACGTATGCCGCTAAGCGTTGTGGGGAGATGCAAGTTCCTGTCGTAAGCAAGGCGGGCAGCATCTGATGTTCTGAGGCCATGCTTTTGGCAGGTTTCGGAGACCCCGTCAATCCACCGTTTCCTTGGTCTTCCTCTTGCCTTATATCCTGAGCTTCTTTGGTTGAAAATTTGTGATGTTATTTGATCATTTTTCATCCTGGTTAGATGTCCAAACCATTTCATTCTTTGATGTTCTATGTAGTCTAAACATGGTGTAGTTTTGACAGTGTTTCTAATGTCTATATTCTTTATCCTGTCTAGTCTGGTCTTATTCGCTGCTTTTCTTAGACATTTCATTTCACAGGCTTCTATTTTTCTTTCGTGGGTCTTGTTGATTGTCCATGTCTGGCACTGGTAGCAGAGTGTTGGAATGAAGATGGTGTTTATCAATTGTCTTTTGGTCTTCATGGTTATATCTGGATGTTTAAGCAGAGGTGATAGTTGGTATGTGTCAGCATTTGCTTTCTGTATTCTTGTTTCTATCTCTCTGTCCATTCTTCCATCCTCTGTAAATATACTGCCCAAGTATTTGAACTCTTTGGTTTGCTTGATTTTGGCACTTCCAACATTTATATTCAGTGGCCTGTGTGTTCTGCTGATCTTCATAACTTCTGTTTTTTCTGTACTGATTCTCATATTATGTTGTAAACAGCTGTTGTTGAGAGTAGTCAGATGTTCCTGTAGATCATATTCATTTTGATACAGTATGCTTTGATCATCAGCAAAAAGTAATTCGTTTATAGCATACACGTCTGGGTTTGCTTCTACAGTGATCTTATCCATGTATGTTATGAAAAAAGTAATGGTGTGACAGTACACATCCTTGTCTGACACCAGTTGTGACTTTGAACCATTCAGAAAGACCACTAGATGTTCTTACTGCACTTTCACTTTTTTCATAGAGGGCTCTGATGTTGTCTAATAATTGACCCTGCACTCCGTAATCGTCAAGAATTCTCCACAGCACATCTCTGTCTACACGGTCGAATGCCTTCTCTTGATCTACAAAGACCACGTTTAGCTCTTTATCGTATTCGAGTGTCTTTTCACAGACTTGTCTTAGTGCAAATATGGCATCAGTGCAACCTCGCCCTTTCCTGAAACCGAATTGTGCTTTACTCAGTAGAGGTTCAACCTTTGCTCTTATCCTACCTTCTAAGATCTTTGCATACATTTTCCCCACATGACTTAGTAAAGATATTCCTCTATAAGTTCCACATTCTCTCTTGTTTCCTTTTTTCTTCCATATAGGTACTACAACTGATCTTTGCCAATCCACTGGTACCTTTCTCTCTGCCCATGCTCTATTGAAAATTCTCTCCAGCCAGGTGATCATAGTGTCCCCTCCAGCCTGGATGACTTCTGTTGTTATTCCGTCGATACCAGCTGCTTTGTGTCTTTTACTTGTTTTGATAACTTTCTCTACTTCATCCCGCAGGATGTGTGGTTCTAGATGATCTGGAGCCCTTGAATGGAATTCTGCTGTTTCATGTATTTCCGACGGGTTCAAAAGTTTTTTAAAATATTCCTCCCATCTTTTTTTAATTTCTTTTTGGCTGAATAATGGTTTTCCATTTTTATCATTTATGACTGATGTTGGATTGAAGCTTTCTTCTCTTAATCGCATCGCTTTCACACTCTTATAAAAGTCTCTTGATGATTCTGTACATAGCTGTGTTAGGTGTTCACCATACTTTTTCCATGATTCCTCTTTGGATTTCTTTATTGTTCTCTTGGTGTCTCTTCGAGTTAGTCTGTACCTAATGTAATCCTTTTCGTCTTTTGTTTTAAAACATATTTGAAACATCTTCTTTTTATTTGACACTGCTTCTTTGACTTCTTCATTCCACCAAGCGGTACCCTTTTTCTTGCCTTTGCCCGCCTTTCTGGTACCACACTTGTCTTTTAATATCTTCGTGATGGTTGATTTATAATAATCCCATTCTTGAATTCCTACTGGTTCCTTGGCAATATCTGCAAAAGCCTTTGTTATTTCTAGTTCAAATTCATGTTTGATATTCTCTTCCTCTAATTTCTTAGTGTTGATGATTTCTTCACGTTTCTGTTTATGTAGACTGTTTCTACTTGAGTTGCATATGTTCATAACTACTGGGCGATGGTCTGAATCCAGGCATTTGGGACAGCTTTTGAGTCTCTTACCTTCCTCTTCTGCTGTTGTCTGACTAGTATAAAATCAATTTGTGACGCTTGATCTAAGTTGTTCCACTTGTACCACGTTTTAACCTGACTTTGGCGATGTTGGTAGAATGTGTTGGTAATGTAGAGATCTTGTTCAGCACACAAGTTTAGCAGGTGTTCTCCATTTCTATTGCAATCTGTGGTTGTGTCGCTAAATGGGCCAAGGTATCTCTCCCATGGTGATCTTCTTTTACCTACCCTACCATTAAAATCTCCCATTACTATGATGTCCTCTTTCTCTTTAACATTGTTGATGGTGTCCGTAAGTCTCTCGTAAAAGTCTTCTTTTTCTTCTTCAGAATAACTATCATTGCAAGGTGCATATATCTGAATAATCGTTGTAGTTTTACTTCCTTCTGTCAACTTGATTAAAATAATTCTTTCTGATATAAATTCTTGATTGTGAAATGTGCAAATGTCAAAAATTGAATATGTGTTACATTTTTAATTTGTTTGTCTTTCAGGACATCTTGGATATAACAGCCCATGTTTATGCAGAGAAGCCACAGAAAACTATCCACACTTTTGTCGGCACTTTCACTAGGGTAAGAATTTGCACTTGGAGGTTCTTGTTCATATTCATGGGCTGTAGACTCTGGCAAACATTTCTGGCTTTTTATCCACTTCTGGACTTTTGTCTTGCTCCAGAATTGGAGTTTTTGTTTGCACATCCTTTGTAGAAATATGGCTTATTTATATGCAGTCTTTTGGCTCCTGGCATCTTAGGCATATCCACTCCGACATCGAAGGAATCTGCCCTTAGTCACCTTTCACCATGTGCTCGTTAGGATGGCATGGGTTTATCCCTCCTCCCCTTCTACCTCCACCAATGGAGCCCTCGAACCCACACTTAAAGATTCAATATCATAAATGTGACTGTTATTTCAATTTTTTTCTTTAAAATGTTTGTATATTGAATTTTTATCATTAGAGGATTGGATGGCCAAATGATTGCATTTCACCTTAGAAAAAAAAATGAACAGGATGACCACATTCAACTGGCTGCTGGCAGCAAAGCAGCCATCATGGGCGGTTAAGAATGCTGAGCTTTTACTCTAGAGACTAAGCTTCCTATCCTCGTTAAGACGGTGGATTGCAGGACAAAGTAAATCCTTAATAATTTTAACAAATAGAAATTTCAGCAGTCAGGACATTGTCTTGTAACCTGTCAGTATGGTTTTCAAGTATGTTTTTTTTTTTTTTTAAATATCCAGAAACTATAAGTTGTTAACCCTTTGGCTCGGTACTGTGGATATCGCAACCCTTTGGCCTTGATTCCATGATAGGTACCGTAAATCTGGGAAAAATGTGGCTTTTCTTCCTACACCCAGAAGTGAAACCGGACCACAAAGAGTTCGTCACCCGGTCACCGTGAAGTCCGATTTAACCAACTATGCTAGAGAGCCGGGTAATGATGTTAGAGGTGTTAAGCACATGACATCACGGTGCGGACAAACAGGGTGAAATAATGACAGCTGAAAGATAGCTGCCCCACTTTTGACATGTACTCAAGAGAAGCAGCACTGTGTTATCCGTTTTTTTGATTAATAAAGGGGTGAAACCTACAGAAATCCATCGGTGAATTAAGATCCAGCATGGTTATGAGGGCTCCTCCACACCTCCCCCAATATTTTCTTTGTAGTGACACCCCTGCCTTATTAACTGTTAATTATTTCTGTTGAAGGACAATGAAGGAATTGTACATGAAGATTCCCTGAGTATAGAACACACTCTATGGGCTAACACAGTCGTGGCATCCGGCACAGCTCTGGGAGTGGTCATCTACACTGGTTGTGAGACCAGGAGTGTCATGAACACCTCACAGCCAAAAAGCAAGGTAAGGACCCTTCTTCATGCCATTAGGCATATTGGGCAAATAGTAAAAAAGTAAAGGACCTTTTTCAATGCTTTCAGCCAGATTGAGCTTATAATGCTAAAATGATATTTTTTAGCTAATTGACGCTCTCTGGGTTAAATGGTCAACATCACGCTGGCCGCCTTTATCTCCCAGGACTTTTCCTGCTACCGGTTTTAGGCTAGGTCAGTCTGCAGATTTTAACCTACAACCTTTTGGCCCGAGATGAGTGTCTAGCCACTACACCACAGCAGCTTCCAAAAAATCAAAGTGCGTATCATTTATTCTTTTGTAACATGACATTCTTCTTCTTCTTCTTCTTCTTCTTCTTCTTCTTCTTTTTCTTCTTCTTTTGCATTCGGAGCCCTTGAGGTGTCATTGCTGCAGATTTCGCCCACCTCCATTCATCTCTGTGATTTTCTTTTTCTTTCCCTGGAGGAACGTCGCTGTAGCTACGGAGTTGCGTGCTGACGACGACACAGGCGGACAGTTTCTTATCAGCTGTCCTTACTGGTGGCAGAGCACTTATGGTTTAAAACCGTGTGCAATGACACTGGTTCTCATCTACTAACTTTACCTTTACCTTTTTTCTTCCCAGTTCATGTCTGCAAGTTTTTGTAGGTCTGCCTGTATATTATCTCACCACCACCATCTTCTTGGTCTGCCTTGTGGTCTACTCTCATTCATCTCTTTTATATACAGTTTTTATCTCTCTGTTATCCTTCAACTTTCTATTGCAAAAGCGTTGCAGGCTTTTAGCTCTCATGATCCCGTGATTAGTGGTGCATCATCGGCGACCGGATCACCCACCCTCTGGCAGGCGGTAGACGACTTTGTCGTTGATGGGAACAGTATTTGGGTCTGTCTCCGTTGATCCCAATAACACTGCAAGAGTCCTTTTCAGGGCTACTTGGTGACGAGCAGTGCTAAGCCACTTTATATGGCACAAATAACCTAGTCACAATTATAACCAAAAGCTACCCTTTCGGTAATGCTTGTTGATCGTGTTTTTTTTTTCCTAAGCAAAGCGAGCAAACAGTTAGTGGTAATTAAACCAGATTATGAATGCCATTGTTGCTTTTCAATCATTATTTTTTTTTTAAATGACTTGGCTTTGTTAATACAAGATTTTTTTTGAAACAAGATGATTTTGTGTATTTCAGATTGGATTACTGGACTTGGAAATTAACACGTTAACAAAATTACTGTTTCTGGCAGTTATCATTCTCTCCCTCGTTATGATGATTTTGAAGGTTTGTTATTGTACCACTAGTTCTTTGACAGACATTGTATCTTTGTTGTTGCAGCCTTTGTTCTCTGACAGACAATGTATCTTTTTTGTTGTACCATTTGTTCTTTGACAGACACTGTATCTTTGTTGCTGTACCGTTTGTTCTGTGACAGACATTGTGTGTGTTGTGTTTTTGAGTATATTGGCTAATTAAGCAGATATTGTATCGTTTTTATTGTACCATCTGTTCTGTGACAGGCATTGTATCTTTGTTGTAGCATTTGTTCAGTGACAGACATTGTATCTTTGTTGTGAGTATTGGCATTTGTATCGTTGTTGTACCGTTTGTTCCTGTGACAGACATTGTATCTTTGTTATTGTAGCATTTGTTCATTGACCAGACATGTCTATCTTTTTTCTTGTTGGCTAATTAACCATTGTATCGTTTTTATTGTACCATCTGTTCTCTGACAGGCATTGTATCTTTGTTGTAGCATTTGTTCAGTGACAGACATTGTATCTTTGTTGTTGTAGCATTTGTTTTGTACCATTGGCTCCTTGATCAGACATTATGTCTTTGTTGTTATTGTACCATTGGCTCATTGACCAGACATTCTATCTTTGTTCTTGTTGTACCATTGGCACATTGACCAGACATTCTATCTTTGTTCTTGTTGTACCATTGGCACATTGACCAGACATTCTATCTTTGTTCTTGTTGTACCATTGGCACATTGACCAGACATTCTATCTTTGTTCTTGTTGTACCATTGGCACATTGACCAGACATTCTGTCTTTATTGTACCATTTGCTCATTGACCAGACATTCTATCTTTGTTCTTGTTGTACCATTTGCTCATTGACCAGACATTCTATCTTTGTTCTTGTTGTACCATTTGCTCATTGACCAGACATTCTATCTTTGTTCTTGTTGTACCATTGGCACATTGACCAGACATTCTATCTTTGTTCTTGTTGTACCATTGGCACATTGACCAGACATTCTGTCTTTATTGTACCATTTGCTCATTGACCAGACATTCTATCTTTGTTCTTGTTGTACCGTTGGCTCGTTAACCAGACATTCTATCTTTGTTCTTGTTGTACCGTTGGCTCGTTAACCAGACATTGTATTGTTGTTCTTGTTGTACCATTGGCTCTTTAACCAGATACTGTATCTGTTTTGTTGTACCTTTGGCTCATTAACCAGACATGGTATCTGTGTTGTTGTTTCATTGGCTCGTTGACCAAACACTGTACCATTCAGTGACCAAAGATTTTTAAAAATCCACTATCTTAGCTCACCTTGTTTTGTGCAATGCACTTCTCCCCCTCCACCGATAAGTTTTTTCTTTCCAGGACTCCATCTGTAGGATTAACTTCCCAAGGGTAGGAACCAATCTGGTTCAAATCCCGGAAACCTCATTCACCTGTATATCACAGTTATATTTAGGTACCACAAAATGGTTATGAATTTACCTGTAGTCCAGTGTGGATGGTTTTTTGAAAAGTAATTTTAAGAAAAAAAGGTAAAGGGCCCATATTGGATCTGTATTTTTTATAGAAGGGTGATGTGGTAAACATGATGCCAGTCACCGTTGCTTTCCAGATCAATTTTTAATATTGGTTTTAGGCTGGGATTCGCCTGGGAGCTCTAGGATGATGTAAAAATGCACTCCAGTATGGAACATTGTGTACAGGCTAGTAGTATTTTGTTTGAAAACTTCAAGCCTTACCATAGATCAAACACACATCCATAACTGATGGTACCTTATGCAGTTGATTGCATGTGGAACTACTGATGTGTTATGACTGCTGCTTTCATTGACGATGAACTTATTTTCTAGTTATGAGTTAGATTGTCTCCAGTGCACCCTAAAATAATGCGCTTTGCTTCATTTCGCACCTTCTTAAGTCTTTCAACCTGAGTATGGCAAGAGCATGGGAGAAAGTACAAGTGTTGGACTGTTTGTTTTGGCACTTCTGATGGCTGTCTTGTGCATTAAAAATGGGTGTACGCCATTGGCTTTGCTGAGACTGCAGTCTGTGTCAGTGTTCCCAGTGACTGAATTTGGTGCTTTTTTAATATTCTACCCCAGATGACCTCACAGGACAGTCCAACATTTTAGAGGGTGGTAAGACTGGGTTTCCCAGCTTTCTGCTGCTTTTAAAGACCCCATAACATCTAGAACAGGCCTTAACCCCAACCCACCTACGTTCCACGACGGCATGCAGCCTATCTAGCACCCCCCTGAAATATTAGACTGACCCGTGACCTGTGGATTTCCCCTGTTTGGTGAAAGGTATTAATAAAGTACCCTGAATTTCTGTTTTTTTTGTTGTTGTTGGCCCAGGAATGGAGCAACTAATGGTTGACCTGCTTGCTGTGACCTCAGAACTGTGATCACCTGATTACACAACCTATGATATGTGTGCCGCAGACATTCTTATCACCTGTGCCACCAGTTCCCAAGTGATCAGTGTTTTCCTTTCTTGTTTCTTTTTTCTTTTTATTTCTTTCCAAATGATAATTACAAATGCTGTTTTTTTTATTTTTATTTTATAGGGCTTTGGTGGTCCATGGTACAGATATTTTTTTAGATTCATCCTCTTGTTTTCCTACATCATTCCGATCAGGTAAGTGCATTTTAATGGAGAGACATTAGCTTAAATCTTCTTCTGCTGCTTCTTCTTCAGCGTTCCGAGCCTTTGAGGTTCATTGCTGCAGATATCACACTCCTCCACTAATCTCTCTGGTTGGCCTTCTCTTTCCAGTTAATAACACCAAGTGTTTGCAGGTCTCTCTAGACATTATCTCTCATTCATCTTCTTGGTCTGTCTCGTGGTCTACAACCATTTATTTCCCTTGGGTATTGTTTTTACCTCTCTGTTATCTGACACTCTCTCAATAGCCCCAGCCATTTCAGTCTGCATACAAATAAGATCTGTGGAACAGATATATATGCAGCACTCAGATTCTGGAACATGACTAAAGTCTAGTGGATCAACATCCAGAACTTTCTGCCGCCAGAGTTTACAGCCAGTGAACGCGAAGAAGAAGAAGAATCCTCACTGCCACATGAAACCATTCAGTCCATAAGTGAGGGTCTACAAGGTGAAATGGGTAAGCTGTTTGCCTCTTGTTCTGAAGTTTGTAGGTTCAGTTTCATAGTTTGTCCTTTGATTTGTGAGTCCAGATATTTCAGAAATCCATGGGGGTTCCTCCATAGAGCTACAGTGTTTGTGCTATGTGTAATGCTGTTGTAGGTGGCTAGCGACTCTGTGGGACTAAATAGGGGTGTTTTCTTCAAGTTGGAGTACATCAACCTGAGAGGTGAGGAACCAACAGTCTGCTTACATTTAAGCCAGGTCTGTAGAACAGATATACATGCAAAACTTGAGCTGCGGAACAAGACTGTCTGGTAGGGAATGAACAAACAGAATTTGCTGCCAGCGTTTAAAGCCGGTGAAGAAGATTCTCAAACATGAGCCCATTAGTGCTCCAATACCTTTCTTACCATATCCTTCCTCCCTTATTTTGCGCGGGGGGTGGGGGGGTTCATCACGTTAGCCAGCATCCTTGAAGGAGGAGCTTTTGGTTATAATTGTGACTAGATTTTTTAGTGCCATATGAAATTGCTTACCACCAAGTAGCCCTGAAAAGGACTCCTGCAGTGTTGATGCGATTGGAGGAGACAGACTCAAATACTGTCCTGATCAACGACGAAGTCGTCTACTGGCCAGCCAGTGGGCAACACAGTCACCGATGTATACCTTACCATACCCCCCACTGTGTGATATTTATAGTGCCGGGCTGTGGTGGTACCTCCTACTTATAACTTTTGCCTGACCACCCATTTTGGCTTGCTGTTCTTGTAATTCTGCCAGTTCACAGTTGTCACTTGATTCTTTCGGTCACCCTGTCTCTCTAATGGCATTTAGTACAGGTAAGAGCTTGGACATATACATATCTGAAGGGAAACAAAGCATAGGAGAATAGTCATGTCTAAAAGATACATTCAACACATATCTAGTGAGATCAAAAAATATATCTAGTGAGATAAACATAAAAATATATCTAGTGAGATAAACATAAAAATATATCTAGTGAGATAAACATAAAAATATATCTAGTGAGATAAACATAAAAGCGAGAATATTTAGATGTAGTTTATTATTACAATCATCACTTGCATGGTCGAACATGCTTCTGCACATCTTAGTATAAATCAGTTCATATGCTGACACTTTTTTCCATATGCTGACACTTTTTTCCCATATGCTGACACTTTTTTCCTATATGCTGATACTTTTTTCCATATGCTGGCACATTTTTCCGTATGCTGACACTTTTTTCCATATGCTGGCACTTTTTTCCATATGCTGGCACTTTTTTTTCGTATGCTGGCACTTTTTTTCCCGTATGCTGACACTTTTTTCCATATGCTGACACTTTTTTCCGTATGCTGACACTTTTTTTTTTTTTACTAAAGTTTGGGCTGCACATGTAATGAGGCAACTTTAACTAGTTTAAAAAAATGGAGGAAAAATTTTTTTCTGCTGATCGAATAGTTCCAGTTTGGGTGACGTGCTTTGCTTCATGGATAGCATTTTTTTTTTAAAATATAATAAAATCGGCTTTAGTATTTAACTGGGAGTTGCCGTGGCAGAGCGGCTAGACGTTCGCCTGCGGATCAGAAAGTCATGGGTTCGCGCCCTCGCAGAGCCGGACTTTAAAAAAAAATTACCTTGGCTCCCAGGTTGACCCAGTCTTGAGTGAGTACCAGGTGCAGTCCCAGGAAGTAAAGGCGGCCTGCGTGATGCTGACCACATCACCCACCTTGTGCCGATTGGTCTATAAAAATATAGGTCTAGCCCTATAATCCCTATACACCTAAAGGTGTGGAAAAGGGTCCATGACATTGCTTACTTAGTATTCAACTGTCAGACTGTGTACACTGTTTCTTTCAGTCTTCGGGTCAACTTAGACATGGGCAAGGCCTACTACTCCTGGGTGATCCAGCGAGACAAGCACATACCTGGGACCACGGTGAGAAGCACCACCATACCGGAGGAACTGGGCAGGATTACCTACCTGCTCAGTGATAAGACCGGAACCCTTACACAGAATGAGATGGTGAGTTTTTTCTTGTGTCTTTACTGTCTGAAGTACCTTTGTCTTCTTCTTTTGTTCGTCTGAAATAAGTTGCCTTTATCAGCAAATTTGGCTCTCATATAAATTCCACTGTTGCTCCTTTTTGGCGAAAAGGTTTGCCTTATTTTTTCATATTCAGTGCAGTCCTGGAGTTAGTGTTGTGCTGTCTGGGGCTATAGTACCACTTCTTAGGGCAGTACTCGTAAGCCAGCATACCGCGATCGAAACCCACCGCAGGCTGCTTGGATTTTTGTCGTGGTATGGGACGTCGCAGGTCGACCCAGCTTAAAATGGGTACCAGGATGGGCTGTCCTGGGAAAGTAAAGACAGCCGGCGTAATGCTGACCACATTACCCACAGAGTGCTGATGGTCTGTAAAATATGGGACGCTCTGCCCATATGCCCGATGCGCCGAAAGGCGTGAAAAGAGATCTTTACTTCTTTTTTTTTTTTTTACTTATAGAAGGGAAAGGTGATCTTGAGCCTAAGGATCTAGGGCTGCATGACTGGTGCAGTCGCCTTGAACTGTGCAGATAAGAGTGTGTTTTTCCCCCCTCTACCTCTTTGACAACAAAATAAGTCCATTACCTTACTGAGAATTTGAACCCCTGGTCTTCAGCATGAGAGCATAGGGTCCTGACCACGGGGCCAGCTGATCCTACTTTTTCTTATGCACCTCTTCATTTTTGTTTGGTTAGTTAATCAACCAATCATCTTCATCGGACAAGTCCATAATCGCTCAGATTCCATCTCTAGTATTTCCCTCAGTATGTGGCAACTGATATCACCAGTTCTGTATATCAGTTTACTATTCTTCTTTGGCTACTTATAAAGAGTTCATGTCTGGCAACACCTCTTTAGACATGAAATTCTTGTGGTCTTGTCAAGGTTGCTGATTCCACTTGTTCTGCCTCCCTGAGAGTTTGAGAACATTGGCCCGGCCGGTCCTTTACTTTTTCTGTGTTTGCCGTGGCCCTGCCAGCAAGCCAGTCTGCTCCTTTATTCCCTCTTAGCTGAGAGTGTCCTGGCTTGAAAATGAAACTAGAGATTTTCTTAGAGGTTCCAGCCACTGTCTTTGGACACATCCGGTCTCTCTGTCTTCTTAAGCATGTTCATGGAATCAGCTAGAAAGCACACATGGGGAAATTTGTCTCTAGCCAGGTCATTGCTTTTGCTACTGCTTTCACCTCCATAATCAGACTAGGTAGGTAGGCATTTGCTGGAGAAAAAAATCGTCACCTTCAACCAGCATCCCCAAAGGGGGAGCTTTAGGTTATAATTGTGACCAGGTTATGTGCGCCATATAAAATGGCTTAGCATTGTACGCCACCTAGAGCCCTGAAAAGGACTCTTGCAGTGTTGATGCGATCAAAGGAGACAGACCCAGATACTGTCCCGACCGCGTCCAAGTCGTCTGCCAGCGAGCCAATGGGTGACCGGATCGCGATTATAATCAGACTACTTGTAGTCAAGACGAAAACATCGCTTCTTCCTTTGTAGTTCTCTCTTCAACCAGAACCGTGAAAGCACATGAGCTTTGCACATGTCTGAACGATGTACCTGTCGATGAAAATAGCCGCACCTGCACCAGCAGAAATCTTGAGAGTCGAGGCTTGAACTTCCACCTCTGCCACCAACGGGTTTATTTGCCTGCAGTCCTCCTTTTGTTTACAATGTGCTGACATTGTTTGCAGTGCTTGTTATCTTAAATCCCAGTTGTGTAGTGGCTAGATGCTCACCTTCCAGCCCAGACGTTTTGGATTCAGATTCACGTCAGCTTGGATTTGTTGTTTTCTCCAGTTGACCAGCCAGAAATGGGTAGCAGATAATGTCCTGGGGGGCTGATTGATCTATAACAGTATGAGTCAAAGCATCATCTGCCTAGTTTTGTAATTAATCTATGCTTCTAAGTCATATTCAGATTTTTTTTAATTGATCCAAGTCATATGCAGGTTCTTATAATTGATCTGGGCTTCTAAACCATTTGCAGTATTTTATAATTGATCTAGCCTTCAAAGTCATATGCAGGTTCTTATAATTGATCTGGGCTTCTAAACCATTTGCAGTATTTTATAATTGATCTAGCCTTCAAAGTCATATGCAGATTTATAATTGATCTAGCCTTCAAAGTCATATGCAGATTTATAATTGATCTAGCCTTATAAATCATATACAGATTTTTAAAATTGATCTGGCCTTCTAAACCATATGCAGATTTGTATAATTAATCTGGGCTTCTAAATCATATGCAGAATTGGTATAATTAACCTGGGCTTCTGAATCATACCCACATTTTTAAAAACTGATCTAGGCTTTCATATCATACACAGATTTGATCTGGGCTTCCAAATCATACGCATAATTTTATAATTGGTCTGGACCTTTAAGTCACATGCAGATGTGTATTATTGATTTAAGCTTTAAAATCATGTGGAGATTTGTATTATTGATCTGGGCTTCTAAATCATGTACAGATTGTTTTAGTTGTTATCGCCTTCTAAATCATATGCAATTTTTTATAATTGATCTAGGATTCTAAATCATGTGCCAATTTTTATAATTGATCTAGGATTCTAAATCATGTGCCAGTTTTTATAGTTGATGTAGGATTCTAAATCATGTGCCAATTTTTATAATTGATCTAGGATTCTAAATCATGTGCCAATTTTTATAATTGATCTAGGATTCTAAATCATGTGCCAATTTTCATAATTGATCTAGGATTCTAAATCATGTGCCAATTTTTATAATTGATCTAGGATTCTAAATCATGTGCCAATTTTTATAATTGATCTAGGATTCTAAATCATGTGCCAATTTTTATAATTGGTCCGGGCTTCCAGCTTGACCCAGCCAAAAATTATTACCAGGCGATGTGGAAAGTAAAGGTGATCGGTGTGATGTTGACCTCATTGCCCATCGAGCACAGATTGGTCTGTGAAAATATGGGTCGAGCATCACATGCTTGACATGTTGATAGCATGAAAAGGATCTTTCAGTTTAGGGGCCATAATTATGTGTACAAGCTGTTTACGGCATATTATCATCACCTTTATTAATCACTTTCAGGTATTCAAGCGACTTCACCTTGGGACAGTCTCATTTACTCCAGAGACAATGGATGAGGTAAGAAAGTGTGTGATATACAACTTCTCCTCGAATTACATCCTATGCTACTTACAACAAATGCAACTTACGACCACCCTTAGTTAGGACCACATAAAATAATAAAATTTAAAAAAAATAAAGAAAGATAACTACGTTGGTAAGAACATAATGTTCCTGGAACTGATGCAGTAGAGTTACCTATTATGTTTTCTTCACAATGTGCAAAACAATTATACACACACACAAATTTAATTTTTAATTTTAATATATAGTTTTATAACCTTTTTGAATTGAAACAGTGTTGAAAATATAAATTCGTCTTACTACCAGTTTAACTTACCACCTGTTAGTCTAAACGGAATTTAGCTGTAAGTCTATAAGACCCTGTAAATCAGTGTACTAACCATTGACTTTAAAAGTTTATTGTCAGCAGCTTGTTTCTGTTTATAGAAATACTTCTTCTTCTCTTCTTCTTATTTTGTTGTCTCACTGATACCAGGTTGTAGCCCAATGTGATGGTTTTCTGTGTGTCTTGCGCTTCTCCGGTGGCTTGGGTGATGCATTTGTTTTAAATGGGTATTTTCACCAGAAATTAGAGAAGACAAACTTCAACAAACCAAAGGTATAAAATGAAGAATCTGTGGCGCAACATCAGCATAAGACTGGGAGTGAAAATCTGAGGGCATGCGTCTTTCTCGTATCAATACGTGGATGTGAATTTTTGCAATTACTAAAAAGAACAATTAGGGCTTTTGAACTTCAATGTTACAAAAAGATTCTTTGAATATCATGCGCCAAGAAGAGGGAAAATACTGACATTTTTTAGGATCTCAACAAAGACAGGAAGTGGCTTATGTTTTGTTTCTTGGAAACTGAAATAATTTGGCTATATATATATATATATATATATATATATATATATATACATATATATATATATATATATATATATATATATATATATATATATTATATAAAACAGAGCAACCCATATGTATTAAAAGAGGCGAGGGCTAAAAGTCAGCTTATTGCAAAAATCAGAAGAAGATGGTCATCAGTTTTTGTCCATATCTTCTTCTTCTGCGTTCATCCAAAGATGTAATGGCGTTGTGTCCGTTAACAGCATGGCTACAATATTTGCACCTTTCGGCCCACACATCTGACTTCTGCTGGCATTTGTTGACCGGGTTAGCCTTCCCGGTTATTTTGTCCATATTATGAGAAGACCCAAAAAAAACTTGAACATGTTGTGACAACTGGAAAAAGATACAAAGGAAGCTGGCACAAGAAGATTTTTGACAGCCATTTCTCATGGCATGGAGAGGTGTCAGCACATTAACTGATACATGACGATCGCAGATTGTGCAGAGGCATGATCGCTCATACCTGTTTGCAAGGCACTTGATGATGATAATGATACTGGTTCCAAGTGTGTGTACTAGTTTCAATTTCTTTTGACATCCACAGGTAATCTGGTGATATGTAAGCTCCTCTTGTCTGCAGTATTCTTATTTTATATCTGTATTTGTTGATATACTCCAGGTAATATCGCACCTGAAATCTTTTTACTCCATGGCTCAATCTTCGGCCACCCCGACACGAACATCAGGACCTGTGAGGCGGAGCGTGATGACCCGAGTGATTGAGGCTGTACACGCTATTGCCCTATGTCATAATGTCACCCCAGTCTTCGAGGAGATTGGCAACAGTGATGTGAAGAGTGAGGACACTGAAGCTGATCAACAACTGAAGCAGAGAGTAACTTACCAGGCATCTAGTCCAGATGAGGTGAGGGATACTGTGGAATGTTGTGTGTTGATAAAACATAATGTGGGTTGTTGCCTACAACATTTTTAAATAAGAAAAAGAGGCAGCCAGAATGAAGAAACACTGCAGACCTGATAAGGAGAACTCATCAGGGACCCAAGAAACAGTCCTCTTATCCAAATAAGAGTTAAAGTAAGAGAAATTGATGGGGATAAACAAATTGTTCTTCACAACAGAAATTTGCCACAGCAGTATTTGAATTTTGAAATCGCAGCAGTCTGTACTGGATAGCAGCCAGGAGGGGACAAACTGATCAGTCAGTGAATCTTTACAGCTGTAGATGTTTCACTGATTGATCAGAAAATCTTCACAGCTGTAGATGTTTCACTGATTGATCAGAGAATCTTCACAGCTGTAGATGTTTCACTGATTGATCAGAGAATCTTCACAGCTGTAGATGTTTCACTGATTGATCAGAGAATCTTCACAGCTGTAGATGTTTCACTGATTGATCAGAGAATCTTTACAGCTGTAGATGTTTCACTGATTGATCAGAGAATCTTCACAGCTGTAGATGTTTCACTGATTGATCAGAGAATCTTCATAGCTGTAGATGTTTCACTGATTGATCAGAGAATCTTCACAGCTGTAGATGTTTCACTGATTGATCAGAGAATCTTCACAGCTGTAAATGTTTCACTGATTGATCAGATAATCTTCACAGCTGTAGATGTTTCACTGATTGATCAGAGAATCTTCACAGCTGTAGATGTTTCACTGATTGATCAGAGAATCTTCACAGCTGTAGATGTTTCACTGATTGATCAGAGAATCTTCACAGCTGTAGATGTTTCACTGATTGATCAGATAATCTTCACAGCTGTAGATGTTTCACTGATTGATCAGAGAATCTTCACAGCTGTAGATGTTTCACTGATTGATCAGAGAATCTTCACAGCTGTAAATGTTTCACTGATTGATCAGATAATCTTCACAGCTGTAGATGTTTCACTGATTGATCAGAGAATCTTCACAGCTGTAGATGTTTCACTGATTGATCAGAGAATCTTCACAGCTGTAGATGTTTCACTCTGATCTAATCTTTACCGTAAAGTTAGTCTACAGATAGTCTACAGATCATCATTTGCACATCGAGCCATTCTGTCCACAAGTGCAGGGATCCCCTCCTTAGTAGATCCCAGAGCATGTAGGGGGCTGACGACATCAGCTCTGTGTTGGTTTAAGACTGCTTCAAGTGTCAGGTTACATTATACAAGTTATATGCTTTGGTAAATTTATTATACATTTTTTATATATAAGATATCTGCATAACCTCTACAGGACATTGCAAAACTAACCCCAACAAATTTTTTTTATTTTTTTTTTTTATAACTATTTATGATTTCATTAGGGAGTTTTATTAGAGCATTTCCACGTCTTTGAGACATTGATGATAGAATCACATGTGAAAGAGATGGACCTCACCATATAATGTTAGCAGGGACAGCAGTAGAGGCATGTACCCAATAAAGCCAACAATATCTACTACTTCTTCACCTTCTTCTTTGCATTCACCAGCTGTGAACTCCTGCATCCCCATGTGAGTTCCGGGGCCCTGTTGTGAGGAAAGCAAGAATAGACCCACTGTCTCCCCAACAAGCATGTCATAAGATTAGACTAATTGGCAGTTTCCTTTGAAATCTGTGGGTGGATGGAAACCCAGAACTTTCCGCTGGAATTTACAGCCGGTGAACGAGACAAATAAGAAGAGGAACTCTGGCACAAAACCCTGGTTGTTTTTACGCACTTTTGGACTTTAGTTTCAGGACTTGAGTTTTGCATTCACATATGTATTGCAGATCTGGCTTATTGTGTGAGATTTTTGCTTCCATGCCTCTCAGGTAGATTCATTGTGACTTCGAAAGAAATGCTGATCATATCTGCATTGGCGGATTGGGAACCCGTTACTTCTGTGAGCTTGGAGAGGTGTAGTCTTGACTAGTTGGTCCCTGGCCCTTGCGCACTGCCATGTTTGGGTCAATTCCTCTGCATCCCAAGTCAACATTCTACATGGAAAGAGCACACATTTTATATTATTCTATTAGACAGTTTCCCACTTGTAGAAATAGGGCTTGTATTTTGTTTATATAAACCCTGTACCCTTTTGTTTGTTTCTGTAAAATCATTTTATTTATTGCAACTTTCAGATTGCTTTGGTGACTTGGGCAGAGAGCATGAATTTGGCTCTCGTGAAGAGAGATTTGAGCTCTATCACTCTGCGGACACCTGTTGGAACACTGTCTACTTTCACCATACTGCAGACTTTTCCATTCACATCAGAGTCAAAGAGGATGGGTATTATTTTAAAGGTATTAAAACCTAGACTGATGATAAGTATTCTTTATAGAATGGATGATTTTTATCTTTATTTTAGAGAATGATAGATCCATTAGCAAAAGTTCTGACTAATATTAAACAGAATTATGTTTGCTATAACCATTCATTTCTACTGTTTCTACTGTTTCTTCTTCTTCTTTTTCATGTTCATGAGCTGTCCATGACCCTGTCGCCCCAAGAAGCCGCAAAATTTCCAACTGGATCCAGTTCCCCATAAATGTCACTTTTCTGGCTTGTCTAGAGTGACCTATTTACAAGATGCATAGTTAATGCTTTTGGCTTAGTCCACACCGGTGCAAATGGTTAGGAGGTCAGGATATGAATATAATTACTGAAAACAGCATTTAGGGGTTTCCTCTTGAGCCAGATAGTTTTTGACAAGTCCACATCTAATTTCCCCAAAAGCCTCTGTGATTGAGGTCACAGGATGGGTCATGACATGAGTCAGCTGAAACACTTTTTTAAGGCCCTAGGGCAGTGGTTCTCAGCCTTTCTAAAGCTGCGACCCTTTAATACAGTTCCTTCATGTTGTGATGACCCCAACCATACAGCTACTTCACTGGTGTGTTTTTCTATGATCTTTGGCAACCCCTGTGGGAGGGTCATTCGACCCACGAAAAGGTCGCGTCCCACAGGTTGAGAACCGCAGCCCTCAGTAATTCACTGTCGAAATTTTTTATTAAGCGGACATATAATTATGCTGCTACCGTCACCTTTGGGATTGGAAATGTTTTCCGGCTGTTAAAGATAGGGATGGAGCACTTATGGGAATGTCCCGATTGCTGTTATGCCAGTTTTTAGCTCAATACTCAACTCATGTTTGTTGACGACTCCCAATATATTGATTTATATATACTGAGGGGGGGAAAATTCCAGTCAAAAAAGTTTTAACCATTGTTTTAGTGACCTTTGCAAAATGTTTCTTTTTTAATTAATATTTTTTAAGAGGTTTTTACAGGAAATTCAGAGGGTCCTGACCCATTTACTTAAACAAAAATGTTTTTTTTTTTTTTTAGCTTTACAGGGGCGATTGAGTTAAGACCTGGTAACATCGAATAGTTTGGGCACATGTAGAATATTGCTGGTTGAACAGATGGTTCATTTTGTAAACTAAGCGTTGAGGAATAAAACTGATAACCTCACCTCTGAATATTATGATATAAAAATATATACAGGTGTAACACTTCGCACATCAATCTTGGGAGGAACCCTTTTCAATTGGAATGACAGTTGATATTTCCTCTTTTACTCCTTAACTCTTTGAGTTCCAAGGGGTTTAGCATCAGAGGCCCAGGGTTAGTCAAAAGAGATGTAAAATTGGCACATCCTGCATTTATTGGGTCTCTGTGTAGGAACCTATGAACGATGAACATATGATGCGTTCCTTGGGACTCAGAGAATTAATGGGAGAGGGGGGGGGGGGGGTTGGTCTTGACAAAATGGTCAGGCCATCCGCGTCGCGCTTTGAAGGTCATGTGTTTGTTTCAGGGCCTGCATCGTTCGGTTCACAGGTGCAGTTTTCATGGAGAACCCAGGGGATCATTGTTAGAGATGTGGAGTTATTAGGTTGTGTGAAAGTCTCGGCAGGTGGCTAGTCATTCTGCTAAGAGAGACTAAGCAAAATGGGAGTCAAACCCGATGCGGTAAAGTTGATCCTCTCAGCTTTAACTCTGAACTTTAATTTTAAACTTTAACTTTTAACTTCAAATATAGGATGAGGAAACAGGGGAGATAACTTTCTACTTAAAAGGAGCCGATGTCGTCATGCAAGGAATTGTACAGTATAATGACTGGCTGGAGGAAGAGGTAATTTATTTATTCACATTTCTGGCTCGTTAACTCTCTTTTAAGTATATATCATAAAGAAGAAGAAGAAAAAAAAACTTCATTTCATATTCTTTATTAGTGAAAATATGTCCTACATGTCTGAAGTGAGCATACCAAATTTCATTACAGTCTGTCTGTTGTTAGTTTTCAAAATATTAAAATCTATTCATGTTCACTAATTTTTGAACGAAATTTTCGGGCCAGATGCAATCTCAAACACTAAACTACTTCAAGTCACAAACCAAGAAACTTTATACAGTATGATAACCAAGAGAAGATGGAAATGGCTTGGCCGCGTTATGAGAATGAATCCTGATATACTTGCCAAAACAGCTCTCACATGGACACCAGAGGGAAAGAGAAAACAGGGGCGCCCAAAAACAACATGGAAATGAACGATGGAAAGTGACCTGAGTGTGGCATCTCTGACATGGAAAACTGCACTGAAGATTGCACAGGACAGGAAAGCATGGAAAGTCCTTTCTGAAGCCTCATGTGCCACTAGGCATAACGAGAACTGAGAATTTTTGAACAGATTGTGGAAAAAGAAAATAAGAGCGGTCTGCAGGTCTTGGCTGGTTGAGAATCACTGTGGGTTGGGAATCACTGTGTTAAAAGTGTTTATGTTTTGTTGAGAGTTGTATTGATGTGTTCATGTGTTTCTCAACAGTGTGGAAACATGGCTCGTGAGGGGCTGCGCACTCTGGTGGTAGCAAAAAAGGTTCTTTCTGAAGAGTTGTACCAGGATTTTGAGGTGAGTGGGTGCAGAATTGGCTGTGTTTCCTTCACCTTTTGCCTGTTTGTGTTTATTGATTAATCCCGTCATATATCTTTATATATATATTTTTTTTTGGGGGGGGGGGGGGATGATTACAAAATACCAATAAATAAATTTCTCATTGAATTGTTTAGTGACTTTTTATTTTTTTTTAATAGCTATACTTATTTTTTCCAGTGGAGTCTTGAACCATTTATTTAGTGTTTCCAGGGTGAGAGGGTTTTAATTCAACCTCTTCCACTTGATATCTGCGTGTAGTTAAATTAAGTGTGTATTTCTCGTAATTTTTATTTGCTGATAAAGGCTTTGTGGTCTATGCGCCTACTGTATATTTGGCAGTTTGTTCTTTTCCACTTATTTTTTTTTCCCCCTTTTTAAATGTTCAAAATTTTGCAGTACAGTTAAGCCTTGTTAGGATCTTTTCCAAAGGATTGAAGAATTAAGATTTAATGTTAACAAACTATGCTATAGTCTGCTTCAAATGTCGTGCCCAACTTTCATTGCCACACGTGTGAAGTGATTTCCAAAGCAATACGCATGTTTGTTTAAAGTAAACGATTTGTGGCAGTTGCTTTATATGCTGGGTTTTTTATTGCTACACAAATTATGAGTCTGACAACGGTCAAAGAAATTTGCCTCATTATGAAAACAGTAGCAGCTGTGCAGTTGTAATCTGAGACCACATGCAGTAATTCTTGTTGATGTGTTCAAAAGTTTTTGGAGGTATTTATTAAAGTTTGAGGGTATGATAGAACAGACTATAACCCGCTACAAATAATAATATACAAATAATAATAATACATCCCTGCTGGGACCACAGTTTTGTTCATGTTAACTGAGTGTTCTTCGTAAATGACTTGATGTTAACAAGGTTTGTCTGTAGTTAATCCTGCTTCATGTTTTACATTAATACTTCAGAATTGAAGAACTGAAACAGAGAAGGTAAAGTTAAAGGAAAAGGGAAGCATTTATGGCTGTAGCGAAAACAAGGACAAGCATGCAGAAATGGGTTGCAAGGTAAAGAAAGAAGATATGCCAGTCAACTCCTACTGGGTATGTTGAGCAAGGAGACACAGAGATGGTTGCTGCATCGGACTAAGGAGCACAAATGGGTCGGACTGATGTTGATACAGACAAGTAATAAGTAACCATAGCAAAAAGCTCTTCAGGCTTTTTGAAGATGGTACTCTACGGTTTCGCTGCCTGAGCTACTGAGTTTAGTGCTTAGTTGCAGCCCTGTGAGCTGTGTTTTTCCTATGGAATGCCTTTCATTTGTGCAGCTGTTGTGTTGTTTTGTTCAGTCTGGTCGGTTTACGTGTGAGCTGGTGAAATACCTTATGTAAGAATTCTACGTGTGTATTGTAACCAACTTATCGTGCCCGACTACTTCCATCAACGACAAACTGCATTTCTGGTGGCGACTGTTGGCTTTGCCGTCTCAGGCATTTGAAATACACATTTACTGTATGCATATATTTCTGGATTGTTCCGGAACTAGTTGTTTATTCACCAGTTTTTCATATGCAACAGTTGGGGACATTTTACTTGATTCGCATGGGCACAGGAATGGAGCAAGTATGGGGAAACTTGATTGCGGTGATGTTGAAACCTCGACTAACTAACTAACTAACTAACTAACTAAACTAACTAACTAACTAAACTAAACTAACTGACTTGACTTGACTAACTAACTAACTAACTAACTAACTAACTAACTAACTAACTAAACTAACTAACTAACTAAACTAAACTAAACTAAACTAACTGACTTGACTAGACTAACTAACTAACTAACTAACTAACTAACTAACTAACTAACTAACTAACTAACTAACTAACTAAACTAACTAACTAACTAACTAACTAACTAACTAACTAACTAACTAACTAACTAACTAACAAGCCCTGTAGCAGAAGAGGTCTGTTCATTGATTGTTTTCTCAAGCTGAATGCTCCTGTTGTTTATTTCCATGCAGACGAGGTACCATCAAGCCAAGATGAGCATACAGGAACGCAATTCCAAAATGCAGGCAGTTATTGAAAGCTTGGAGAGGGACATGGAGCTCTTGTGTCTGACAGGTAAAAAATGTGAATGAAATAAACAAGCAAACAATCCATCATGTTACAAAGAAATTAATATACACACATAAGAAGAAAGAAAATGGGATGTTTCACGCAGAACCTTTCTCAACACAAACCACAACAACAACAAAGGGCAGAGTATTCTGGCCAATGGTCTCCACACAGGGGAGTCACTTGGAATAACTTTAAAATATAGGAAGAAGAAAAAATTGTGAGCAAATATAACAGGAGTGGTAGAAGTAAAACTGTATAAGTGGTGGAAATAATAGTAATAATACTCTCATTGGTGATAATAATAATAGTACTTTACTTACTTAGTCACTTTTCTTCTACCTTGGGGTGTAGAGGTTTGCCAGAGAGATCGCCAGACGTCTCTATCAGCAGTTTTCTTTCTGGCTTTGTTCCATTCCACTCGTCTGTCAGTTAAGGACTGTCGAATGTTGTCTTCCCAGCGCACCCTGAAGGTCTGATTCCCTGGTTGTTAGCCTCCCTTGCCTGCCTTGGTGGCCGATTTTCTCCCATTCTGCATACATGTCCAAACCATCGTAACTGTGACTGATCCACTCGGGTTTGTAAGGACTGGATGTCAAGATCTTGATGTATTGTCTGATTGCGGACTTTGTCCCTTTTTGTCACTTGTACCACCTTTCTCAGATATATCATTTCTGAGGCCTGAAGCTGGCTTCTGTGAGCTGTTGTCATTGCCCATAACTCACACCTGTAGGTCAGGACTGGCACATAGGTAGAGTGGTAAACAGCCATTTTCGTCCTCTTGCCAATTTCTATTTTGCTAAGAAACCCTCAGTTTATAATAATAATAGTATCGTTACAAAATTTTGGACCATTTCTAGCCATAAACAAACAGATGGGCTTTCCTCTCTCATCGTTTGGCAGGTGTTATTTTTGTTTACGTTGATGGCATTTATTTTAGTTTTGGTGTCTGGATATTTGTTTCAGGAGTGGAGGACAAGCTTCAGGACGGTGTGAGGCAAACTTTAGAGATGCTGAGAAATGCAGGAATTAGAGTAAGCATTGTTTTAACTCATTTGGTAGAATTGATAACCTCTATGATTGTTTGTAGTAACTTTCCTTATTTCTGTCATCCCTCTGATACCCAGAGACAGGAATTCATAATGTTCTAGGATGGGATACAACGTTGCATCTGCACATATTGTGTGGAGGTGGTGCTGGTGCCCTGGACCAGGTCTCTAGTCAGGATTTATCCACACCTCTCTGTGGTCTTCCTGGAAACAAGTTCCCAACCAGGGTTGGTAACCCGTTTTTAGGATGATCATGCAGACGTGTAGGCAGGTCTTGACCAGTTGGTCTTGGTGCGCCATCAGATAAGGTTCGGCACCGCTTCATCCCCGTAGATGACTAAATTAGATTGCCACTGATATTGAGCTGATGTGAAGAACAATAACCGCTTGCTACCAAAATTCTACTGTGAAACATGCTGAAAGAAAATACAAAGCACCAACGTTGTCACCGAAGTCTTGCCGATGAACAAAACAACAGGCATCTTTACTACAGAAATAAAATACACTGAAGTAATCTTCTTCTTCTTCTGCGTTCATCGAAGATGTAATTGCGTTGTGTCCGTTTACAGCATGGCTGCGATATTTGCACCTTTCGGCCAACACATCCGACTTCTGTGGGCATTTGTTGACCGGGTTAGCTAAAGTAATCTTATAACATGATCCTGCAAGAAAGTAATCCTTAACAAGATCCTACGTGAAGGTCTACAAGAAAGTAATCCTATGATATCATCCTATAAGAAAGTAATTCTATCGAAGCAAGTCTACAAGAAAGTAATCCTATGACATGATCCTACAAGAAAGTAAAGCTATGAAAAGATCCTACAAGAAAGTAATCCTGTAACACAATTCTTTAAGAAAGTAATCCTATAACACGATCGTACAAAAAAGTATCCAGCGACATGATCTTTTGTCTTCCCTTCCTCCATTTACCCCAGTGAAGTGTTGGGAAGATATAAGAGTTGTCTACGAGCTCATTCTGATGTGTTGCATATGTTGATCCTCATTTCTTTAAGGCTGTTCTTGATGCCATTGTTCCATCTCTTTCATGGCCTTCCCTTTATCTGTATTCATTATATTTTTTTCAGCTTGTGATCCTTAAAGTATTTATATAACATGATCCTGCAAGAAAATAATCTTCAGGATGGAAAAACAAAAAGGATAATCTTGATTTTTACTTGGCTCTCTAGAATGTAGTTATAGAATTTTTAAAAAATATAATTTATGTAAAAATTTTACCAGACAAAAACACAACTGAACTTAATAAGAGCTTATAAAATTGATTTTGGTTTCTTCCAGGTGTGGATGCTGACAGGAGACAAGATGGAGACTGCCATTTGTATTGCCAAGAGTTGCCAGATGGTTTCCAAGACCCAGGACGTCTATATCTTTCAGACTGTTACAGACAGGGGGGAAGCTCACTTGGAGCTCAACTCCCTGAGGAAGAAGAATGAGGCGGCTCTGATTATTAGCGGGGACTCTCTCCAGGTGATTGACTTGATTACCTCCCCATTTGAGTTCTGCCAGGGCCCCTATTTTGTCAGGTGGGGGGGGGGGGTGGATTTAGACCCATGGCTTTCAGACAAGCAAGTCGCTAAATGGTGACTAATTAGGTGCATTTCTTTTGAAGTTAGAGGGCATCTGTCTGAGAAGCGAGGAACCAACTGTCTGCATATAAATAAGCCAGATCTGTAAAATGGATTTGCACACAAAATTCAAGATCTAAAACAAGACTAAAGTCCAGAAGTAGATGAACAACCAGAAGATTCTGCCAGAGTTTACAGCTGGTGAACACTAAGAAGAAGAGAAAAGAGATCATTTAACTTTTCACGGTCCAACAGATTATATTTTTCAAAACGTTTTGAGACTTGTCTAGAAAGAAAAGCAACTAGGAAGAAAACTGGCCACTCTAAACTAATATGGTATAGCCTAGAATATATGAAAGCCTAAAAAGTCACACCCCAGCTGCAGTATCTGATACAGAACTAACTACCTTTTCTGTATCTCTTGGAATTCCCATACGGGTAATCAGTTAAACCACAGTTCCACAGAAAATGGGTCACTCTGAAGTTGCCCTGTTCCCCTCCCCTCACGAAAACCACACAAGTTGACCATCGCTGTTCCTTGTGGAAGAATTGATGTGGACTGCAGTCTTGGCAAAGCTAACAGCAAACACGCACATTTAATGCATAAGGCAGCCTTCAGACGTGCCAACACAATCCACTACTGGAACAGTTCACTGTCAGTGGAAGCAGTAATTACAACAGATGTACAGTTGCACATGCAGTAATGCACAAGGCACAAAATCAGATCTGTGGCAACAAGCCACTCATCATTTTTGAATCTGTGGTTCACAATACAGACCTCACTGGGCACAGTCAAAAAAATATTCCAAAGGAAATCCGCAGCTGACAGTGTTGCTCTATGCACTCAGTTGTTTGTTGTTTGTTTGTTTGCGTTCACCAGCTGTAAACTCCGGCGAAAAGACCTGGTTGTTTAACCCATTTCTGGACTTTGGCTTTGTTCCAGAACCTGGGTTTTGCGTGTGCATTCGTTTTACAGATCTTGCTTATTTGTATGCAGACTGTTGGTTCCTTGTCTCTCAGGCAGATGCACTCTGACTTTGAAAGAAGCCCCCAATTAGTCGATTCTTACAACATGCTTGTTGAGGAGGCAGTGGGTCTATTCTTGTTTCCCCGGCAACAGGACCCCAGAACCCACACGGGTTTTCACTCACTTTGGTAGCTGGGCAACAGGACCCCAGAACCCACACGGGTTTGCACTCACTTTGGTAGGGGTTTGCACTCACTTTGGTAGCTGGGCAACAGGACCCCAGAACCCACACCGGTTTGCACTCACTTTGGTAGGGGTTTGCACTCACTTTGGTAGCTGGGCAACAGGACCCCAGAACCCACACGGATTTGCACTCACTTTGGTAGCTGGGCAACAGGACCCCAGAACCCACACGGGTTTGCACTCACTTTGGTAGCTGGGCAACAGGACCCCAGAACCCACACGGGTTTGCACTCACTTTGGTAGCTGGGCAACAGGACCATAGAACCCACACGGGTTTGCACTCACTTTGGTAGCTGGGCAACGAAACTGTATACTTTCTGTCTACAAATTGGGGATAAGATGCAACAGCCAATCATGTTTAGAAGCAAATAACTTGTTGAAACTAAAACTATAGGCCGGCTTATTTGTCATATTGGCTTGAAAGTCCTCAACACCAATATTTGAAAGTCTCAAATACAGCAAAATATTTGAAAATTTATAAAAAGGAATTCTTTGCAGACATTACTAGAACAACAGCAGATCAGAAGAAGAAGTTTACCATTACATTTATGATTGTGATTTTATGAAGCTGATATGTTCTACTTCTCATTTTGATTTAATTTAATTTTTTTTATTTTTTACACCTTTAATTTTGCATCTTTTGTGAAGGTTTGCCTTAAGTACATACAGACAGTAGTTTTTTTTTTACATCTGTAATTTTGCATCTTTTGTGAAGGTTTGCCTCAAGTACTATGAGCATGAGTTTGTTGAGCTGGCCTGTCAGTGCCCAGCGGTTGTAGTCTGCCGATGCTCTCCCACACAGAAAGCTGATATTGTGAAGCTGCTGAAGATCCACACAGGCAAGAGGACCTGTGCGGTCGGGGATGGAGGAAATGATGTCAGCATGATACAGGCAGCAGACGCAGGCATCGGAATTGTGGGAAAGGTATGTGTTTTAAAATAAGAAAACTGTTTGTAGTTTCTGCAGTTTGAAATACGCTTATTTAGAGTAGATAATGTTGCCAGTGTTTGTTCTGGGGCCAAAAGGAAGGGGGGAGGGGGGTCGACCTACTGCCTCTCACCTCCCAACAAGCAAGACCCACTCCTTTCTAACAAGCATGTTATAAAAGACGACCAATTAGGTGAGGTTCCTTTAAAGGCGGAGTCTGTTTGCCTGAGAGGCAAGAAATCAAAAGTCTGCCTACAAATAATCCAGATGTGTAGAACAGATGTCACGCAAAACTCAAGTTTTATAACTGGACCAAATTTCAGAAGTAGATGACCATCCAGAAGTTTCCGCTGGAGTTTACAGCCAATGAAGTCGAAGAAGGAGAAGTATATAATAAAGAAGACGCACACAAGTTTGGAGACATCCCATCCTGTAAACCCATTTTAGACTGGGTTGACTGTGAGCCCCATACTATGCTTCAAATGTGTCAGCAGTGGGTTTCAATCGCGGTACATTGGCTCACGAGTCATAGTCGCAGCGCCTAAAATTGCCACGGTGACCGGCTACGCAAAACCTTGTAACAGGGTTCAATCCTCGAGAAGTAGACGACCAACCAGAAGTTTCCGCTGGAGTTTATTGTCTGGTGAACTCTAAGAAGAAGAAGTTATATAATAAAGCAGACACACAAAAAGTTTGGGAAAATGTAAACTAATGTTACTTTGAGAGTTCTCATTGCTCCAAATGTGACAAGTTTCTGAATCTCATTGCTCTCTACAGGAAGGCAGGCAGGCATCTCTAGCTGCAGATTTCTCCATCACCCAGTTCAGCCATATTGGCCGTTTGTTGCTGGTCCATGGGAGAAATAGCTACAAGCGGTCGGCAGCTTTGGGCCAGTTTGTCATTCACAGAGGTCTTATCATCACCACCATGCAGGCTGTTTTCTGCTCTGTTTTTTACTTTGTGTCAATCGCCCTCTTTCCAGGCTTTCTCATGGTTGGGTATGTACTGTATCTTTTATTTATTGTTATTATTTTTTTTTTAAGTAATAATTGTCATAACTTTCCTTATAGACAAAGAAACATTTAAGATAATCCTAAGAATGTTATATTGAATTTTAGAGTACAATTAAAGACATGTAACCCACTGCCGGCAGCGTGGATTTTTATCGTGGTATGGAGCGTCGCAGGTCGACCCAGCCTAAAATTGGTACCATAATAGCTGTCCTGGGGAAGTAAAAACAGCAGGGGTAATGCTAACCACATTACCCACCTAGTGCCAATGCTCTGAAAAAATATGGGAGCTCTTCTCATATACCCGATGCGCCTAAAGGCGGGAAAAGGGATCTTAACTTTACTTATTAAAGACATAGAGCAAAACTTAAGAATGTTTTTTTTCTTCCTCTGTTGTGTGGTGGCTTTGTATTGTGACCTGCACTTAAAATGGCAAGTGGCGGATTACATTTGAAATGGCGTGTACAGCTTTCGTAAGTGACTGCTTGCATCAACAGAGAGCTTTAATTCTAGTGTGGGACTGTAAGTGTTGGCACAATTGACAGCTGCCTTATGCATTTATTTTGCATGTGCAAGCTTCACACGCTTCTCGATTTTGCTAAGCTTGACACTTATCCCAACTAGTTTATGTGTGGGGGGGGGGGGGTGATAACAGCAGTTCTCCAGCATTATTACTCAACAGACATCCTTTCCTGGCAATCACAGTTAAATCTATCTAACAACTCATTTACGCTATATTCAACATCTTCGAGGGGGGGGGAGGTGGGGGGGGTTGGGGGGGGGGTGGCTGCGTGGTCTCGAGGCATGGTGTCTGCCTCGAGTGCTACAGGTTCCTGGTTCAGTAAATGCTTGGATTTTTTCACGTAGACTTGGACTTCTAGTAATTTCCCCTGGTCTCTGGGTAGTGAGATTGGACGCCCATGTGTATTGTTGCGCATGTAAAAAAATCCCTTGGCAGTTAGAAATCAAAAAGAGTAGCCTAACGGCGCTGCCCGGGCAAAATTTGAGATATAAATTTACCCAAAGTATTTCAGGATCCTTGCCGGTGCTACAGCGCCTGTGCACTGTGCTGAGCTTCTTTGGACTCAGACTTGAGTTAGAAGAAGAACGGAGCACTTATGGGTTACTACCCGCGTGCCATGATGTTGATCTGTTTTTCAAAACCTCAACATCTTCAAGAATGACAACTGTCTCCTCGACTTTTGTTACGCAACTGACCATGAGCCAACCTCAGGCTGTTACGCAACTGACCATGAGCCAACCTCAGGCTGTTACGCAACTGACCATGAGCCAACCTCAGGCTGTTTCATGAGCCTCTCAGGCTGTTACGCACTGACCATGAGCCAACCTGAGTACTTGACCGTGCTGTTGTCTCTTGTTGCACGACCATGAGCCAACCTCAGGCTGTTACGCAACTGACCATGAGCCAACCTCAGGCTGTTACGCAACTGACCATGAGCCAACCTCCTGTTACCAACGCAAAGAGCCACCTCAGGCTGTTTACGCACTGACCATGAGCCACCTCAGGCTGATAGCAACTGATAAACCTCAGGCTGTTACGTTTGACCTGAGCCAACCTCAGGCTGCAACTGACCAAGCCAACCTCATGAACGCAACTGACCCACCAACCACAGGCTACGCAACTTGACCGAGCCAACCTCATGGCTGTTACGCAACTGACCAAGCCAAATACTGTTACGCAACTGACCATGAGCCAACCTCAGGCTTTTCCTCGTTCATCTCTCCAGCCCCGAGTATTCCGTGCTGTTGTCTCTTGCACGGGTTTTCTGCTCAGCTTGCTGTGAGCGTGGACCACCACGCAAAGCAGGGTCATCACAAGATAGATAAATGTTGTAGCTGAGACCTGCAAAAAGGTGAACAAGCCCACCACCCAGGCCACCGAAAAATTGCAAAACAAATACAGAAAACACAACACTTGGCTACAACCCGGTATCATTGATACCATTGCCTAAAGAAATTGATGAATATTAAATGGGACGATTCATCAAACAGGCCTTGATTTTTCCACACACACACACAAAATGGCTTCAGGAAACAGGAATGTCAGAGAGAGACCCTAAGATAAGACAAATTTGTTTGAGAGAGGTCAAGGTTCAGGACTAGATTCCATCCATGATAACAAACAGATTGCACAGAATTGAACCGAATGCAGGCACAGACAGTGAGCCCTAGATGACATGGTATAACAGGATGGTGGTGATGATGATGACTGGGGTGTACCATGAAAAGGGGGAAAGCAATGGGGGGGGGGAGGAGGAGGAGAGGCAAAGAGACATTATGACCTGGAAGAACATCAGGTTTTAAAAACAATTAAGGGCACACCAAACAGAAAGCTCTGGAAAAGATGTGATTTCCAATGGGGCAACAGGCTATAGGATGACGATTTTGGATTGTTTGTTTCTTTCTACCATGTTAACTTCTCCACCACCAGCTTTTATTTTGGTTTTCAGGATCTTCTTCTGTCTTCTTCTTTTTTTCTTGTGCTTTTTTTCCCTCCCTCATCCTCTCCTTCTTCTTCTTCTGCTGCTAATTCTTCTTCTTCTGCTAAGTCTTCTTCTTCTTCTTCTTCTTCTTCTGCTAATTCTTCTTCTTCTTCTTCTTCTGCTAATTCTTCTTCTTCTGCTGCTTATTCTTCTTCTTCCTCCTCTTCTTCTTCTTCCCTTACTCCTCTTCTCGTCACTCCCCTATTTTCCTTCTTCCTATTCTTTTTTGTGTTTAGATTTTCAGCCATGCTTAACTGCAGCCATGATGAGGATGGTGTCGTTCATCTATACAATTCTGATATTCCAGGTATGCAACCGTCTATACCATGTACCCGGTGTTTTCTCTGGTCCTGGATAAGGATGTTTCTGCTGACACTGCACTGACCTATCCTGAGCTGTATAAAGATTTGACAAAGGTATGGCAACTTTTTTTTTTTTTTTTTTATATATGACCAAAATTAAAAATAACATTTTCTTTCCTTGCTGTAAGATTTGCTTTAGCAATGCAGAGATTAAACAACATGAAGAACCACTGGCATAGCACTTACAAGGAAGTGTAAGTGACAGTTGTGAGATCATGCATCATGCTTGAAATTATAAACATAAAATGGGATTAATTCAAGAGAGGTGAAGAAATACAAGAAAAGTCTGGGCAACCACCAGTATCAACTGGCCGGCCCATGGATCACACAGACATTGTCATTACCCTTAGAGAGATAGGACGTTCTGAGGATTTTCGAAGCAACGTGTCCACATCACTTCTAAGACTACGCGAATTGGGAGTAAAGATCGGCACAGCCAAGCATGAGAAACACACTGAACGCACACGAAGTCTTGTTAACCAACATAGGACTGGTACTATTAACCCCACAACGCTGATGAAAATGTTGGGACGGGAATCTGAGCGCCTATGGATGTGTTGGGAGTGCTGTGAAGATAATCTAACTCATAACTCATCAACTTTTATTTGTCAGAGAAGATGGCGCTATATGAGACTCTTTCTGAGAAGAGGTAAACAGAGAATCACCAGGCAGGCACTGAAATGGGAAATGGAAGGACTGAGGAAATGAGGACGTCCAAGAGAAACCCTGAAATGAATGTTGATGAGAGAAGCCAAAGCTGCTGGACTGGATTCCATTGAAGGGATTACTCAGCATAGAATGGAATGGAAGAATGGACTGCGAGCCCTGTGTGACTTATAATGGCACAGTAGGACATGAATGAAGGTCATGCTTTGGAATCTCTGTGGCAAATTGCTGTCTCTAGGCTCACACTCTCAAGAGTTAGGGTTTGATTGTGGTTCGTGAGTGCAGATGTTTCACAAAAGGGAGGTGGGGGTGGGTGTGATTTGTACAGTGCTGTCACAGACAGACAGTTGCCTACAAAGACCAAGCCACATGGAGTAAAAACCTGACGCAATCTCTTCTTTTTATTGTTTACCTGCTGTAAACCGCCAGTTCTGGTTGTTTGTCCACTCCTGGACTTTGTTCTTGTTCTACAACTGAAATTTTGCATGCACATATGTTTCACAGATCTGACTTTATTTGTATGGGTTCCTTGCCTTTCAGGCAGATGCACTTCGATTTCAAAGGAAACATCCCTAAGTCACCTTGTATGAAGGCTTGTTAGGGCAGTCCGTCTATTCTGCTTCCCCCCACCCCTCCAGATGAGGTCCCAGAACCAACACAATGATCCTGATGCAATAAAGTCGAACCTCTTTGTGTCTGAAAGATCATTTAAAGCAAGCAGTCTCTTTGACAGAATAATGAATTCTCTAGAGATCCTGTGGAGAAACCACAAAAAATAAACTCACGCACTATCTTATTGCAAGATATAAAAATAATACTAAGAGATTTAAATGCAGAAGTAAAAAAAGGTTTGTTCTGATGACTGTGGTTTAGGAATAGTGAGCAAAAAAAGGAGAAAAACTGATAGAATAGACTATGTAAATTAAATATTGACTGCAAATATTGTAAATATTAGATGCCTGTTTGCTGTTATTCTAACATATACCTTATTCTTATCTATAGGGTCGGTCTTTGTCATATAAAACATTTTTCTTGTGGGTTCTGATAAGTATTTATCAAGGTAGGAGGCTTTTGACTTTTATTTCAGTCAACAGTGTTTTTGTTTGCTTATGTGTTCTGTGTTCATATATGTTATAGTACAGCTTTATCAAAACCGACACTGGTTTGTTTCCTGAAACTAGAAAGGAAGCAAAGAGTAGGGACTCAAACCTACCATGCATGTCATAGGAGGCACTAAAGAGGTGTGGAGTGAAACTGCTAGCTTATCTCGTTGAAAACTAGCTGCAAAATGCAACCAGTCAAGAACAGATTTTCATTGGCTCGGCATTATTCGGTTGTGAGCCTATATTTCATTGGCTGATTAAAGGCAGGAAAAAAAAGAATGTGACATAATAACCTGAGTCTATATTGGTAGAACTGTATTGATCAGCACTCATAGAAAGAAGCAGAGAGGCAGAAGGACACACTAGACAATATAAAAATCAAAAGCTATAGTTACTGTGCTGGGAATCAAACCTGTTACCTCCAAATGGTGTGTGCGCCTCGCTATGGAAACAAGCGTACTAAGAAGAGGACCAACTAGGAACCAATTTTGGTTTTATTTCTGGCATTTTAACTATAGCTTTTGAATTGTTATGTTGTCAAGTATGTCCTTCTGTCTTTCTACTTCTTTCTGTGAGTGCCGATCATTATGTTGTCTCTTTGGTAATTATATATATATAATTTCTACGGCTTCAAGGGTTCCCTCTCTGTTTATTTATTGGTAGAACTGCTCATTTTATTCACATCTTTCTGCCTGTATGGGTTTAAAGACCGGCCAGGGGTGGGGGAGGGGGGACCAACTGCCCTCTTATCCTAGCCGAGCTGTAAACCGCACCAGAATGTGCTAACTACCTTTTGAGGGTGAACACAGGAAAAGCGCCTCCTTCCTTCTGAATGTTGAATTAAGAATCGACATCACAGCCCTCGGGACACTCCCATAAGTGCTCAGTCCCCCATCGTCGACAGCAAGCGAAGAGTCTCTCCTTCTTTTTCTGCATGTGGAACGTATTTAAATATCCAGGTCATTTTATTTTATACAGTTTATTTCGGACATAAGTAATAATTGTTTGCACAAAGCACTGTCTTGCTTAGATGTGAAACTAGGTATTAGCTTCACGAAGCTTCTTTAGATATACATTTTGAATGACCAAAATTAAATATAACATTTTCTTTCCTTGCTGTAAGATTTGCTTTAGCAATGCAGAGATTAAACCACATGAAGAACCACTGGCATAAAGTACCAGCAAGCAAGTTAAAGTGACAGTCGTGAGATCATGCATCTTTCCTGTGGCAACTTGTGGATGTGATTCAGGGTCTGTCACTCAATCTTTGAAAAAAAAAAGAAATTAGAGCTTTTGAACTGAGATGTTACAGAAAAATTCTTAGAATATCATGAAGCAGGAAGAGGGTAACCATCGACATCCTGAATGACCTACACATTAAGCAGAACTGGCACAGCCTCCTTCATCAAAAGCTGGAGTATTTTGGGACATGTCAGGCTCTGTGGCTGTCTCGAGAGAACGGTGTTGGAGTGTACAGTTTCTAGAAAACAAGGCAGAGGTTGACCACCACGAAGGTGGATACAGGACATTGAAGGTGCATTAGCTTTGAAAGCATATACAACGCTGGAGAATAGGCTAGAGTCAAAATGAACAGCCAAACAAACTTTATTTTTGAAGGGTCACAAATTGGCCCTGCAGGCCCATCTTACTTATTCGGCCATTCTAAACCTTCATCTTTCACTCAGCAGTATAGACTTTCGTGTGTGCTGTTCTGTAAAGGACTTGCTGATTGATTGATATCGAGGTAATAGAAATCCTATAACAGTCATCACCGGCGGTTGTGGGAAGCAATAGGACTTCACATGTTCTAGGCTACAGCATGTATGGTTGAGGTGACCAATACCCTTGCTCATGAACCCTGAAGTTCACTTCCTGTTGGTTATAAAGATTATCCGGTTTTTAATTTATAACGTACCCCAAACACGAAATCCCCGTGGGAAATCCACAGCTGACCTGACAGTCCATTATTTAAAGGGGTGGAAGTGTGCTGTTGTGTTTTTTTTTTTTTTGGAGTGTTCATCTAGTGTCTTATAATCCTAACCCTAACCCTAACCCTAAACTTGGGTGTAGATAAATCGCGAGAAACTACAACCTGAACACCCTAGAATTTATTGGAAATGTCTCCCGTGACGTTGTCGTGACGTCAGGGGTAAGTTATAAATTAAGTACCGATTATCCTATTCAACCTTAAAGAATGTTATAACTGGGATCATTAGTTAAGTAAAGAATTTTGTTAAACACAGATAACTTTCTTTATTATCTATTTTAAAAAAAATTATGCCTTTGTATTTCTTCTAAATAATATTTTTCATGTATATTTTGTTGGTTTTTCAGATATTTTTAATGAATCTACTCATGTGTATCACTTCCTGTTTTAGACCGCTAGGCTTTGGGAACTGATCTCAAAGCAAGATTTCCTTCTAAGTTTTTTAATTAAGAAGCGCATAGAAAGGCTTCAGTTCATTCACTTTTTTTTATTTCTGGTTGTTTGTTGACACTTGGGAGTCAATGTAGTGTTCGCGTCCTGACAGAGCCTGACTGTTTTTGTCAAAAATTATCTTGACTCCCAGGTCGACACAGTCTTGAATGGGTGCCAGGGGTAGTCCTGGAAAGTAAAGTCAGCCCGCATGATATCAAGTGCCGATTGGTCTATAAAATTATAGTTCTAGCCCTAAATTCCCAACACACCTCAAAGGCGTGGAAAAGGCGACTTTTTACTTTATTGACACTTCCCCTCTCCTCAGGCCTTCATGTCAGAGGCATTGAAGAGTATACCTGGGGCACCATTTTGGGGGGAAAGTGAAAAAACCGCACCCACAAATCAAGTGATGACGTAAATACAGGGGTGACTGCAGTTGAACAGATTGCAAGAAATGCTCAATATATTACACAAAGTGTGACTAGAAAGCTCAATGGAAGGAATGGAAAAGATGCACACAAACACACCCGAATGTTTCTCACCTTGTCTTGACCGTTGAGTTTTCTAGTCACAGTTTGTGCTACGTTTGGTACTCTGTTGATAAAGACTTTGGTCGAAACGTTTGGTTGTGTTTGTGTGCGACTTTTCCATTCCCTCCGTGGAGTTTTCCTGTCACATTTTCTGTTATGTTTAGCATTTCTTGCACCCTAACAAGCATGTCATGAAAGGCAGTTTAGTAAGGATTTTTCTCAAAATGAAATTAATGGGCCCCAAGGCGTAGATATTGCAGCCCAGCTTCAAATCACTACTCAACAGGACAGCCATTTTTTTTTTTTTAAACACAGAAGTTAACGAGTGATGCTTATTGTCCGTGAGAAATCAAACAGGCAAGCTGCAGCAGCAAAGTGTTACAAAGTTTGAATGACATGTTGTTCCAGGTGGCACTATCATGTACGGAGCCCTGCTGCTTTTTGAAGCCGAGTTCATCCACGTGGTCAGCATCACCTTCACGTCACTGATCCTGACCGAGCTGCTGATGGTGGCCTTGACTGTTAGAAACTGGCACTATTTGATGGTGGTGGCCCAGGTCTTCTCCCTGGGGATCTACATTGCCTCCCTGGCTCTGCTCAAAAATTATTTTGGTAAGTGAATATTAACCCTTTCGCCACAAGGAGTTGAAAAACGGACACATCTGGTCGGGTCCAGTTCCCCTTAAGTGTCACTTCTGCGACTTGTCTCAAGTGATCTGTTTACAAGATACATAGTTAATCCTATTGGCTGTTTTCAAGCCTGTGTGGTAAAGTGTTCAAGGCATTCGTCATGTGCTCTGAAGGTCATGTGTTGGTTTCATAGCTGCATCAGTTTAGGAGTGCAGTATTTACAGAGATCCCAGGGTATGGTCACTGGAGCTTTGGAGTATGTGCTTTGTGCAGTGCTAGCTTTTCTTAGGGGGGGGGGGGTGAAGAGACTGAACCATATGGGATTAAACCCAGTGTAATGAAGTTTCTTCTTGACTTTAACTTTATTTTTGTTAGTTTAATGATGTTTTTTTGAAGCAGTTGAGATATTCTGGTTTATCTTTCATTGTTTTTTTGGGGGGGATATTTTGTCTTTTCATTTTATTATTTCTTATGATGTATTTCTGTCGTTCGAACAGTCAATCAGGTGTCGCCCCCACAATGAAGATTGACTCCAGGATATCTCCAGTATTTTTAGCCTCTGTTGTTCACTCTTTCAGACTGCTCTTGGCCCATGTCTTGCTGATGTCCTCCCTCTTGCATCATTGTCTACCTCTTGTTCTCTTGCCCTTGACCCCCCTCCCCTTCCACATATGATGTGTTGTTATCTGTTGTCAGTTTATCAGAAAAATTATTGACTTGTTCTAGTTATTTTTCCCATTGCTACAGTCATTGCCATCTTTCTGTCTCTCCAAGTGATAGTGTTATACTATGTTGTAGAGATGCATGACAATCACAACCAGTTTTAGGCCAGGGATGAAGTTCCTCCTCTCCACAGCACATTTTGTTGACTTCAGAAGAAAGGTAGCACGTCACAGATCTCGGTCTTTGATGTTCTGGATCAATTTTAATGATGATACTCCTCCAGGCCACAGTCCTAAGCCATCCACCATTTATCTTGGTCTGCCTCTTCTACCAGTGATCTTTCCACTCGGCGCTATATTTTCCAGTGCTCCTTTTCTCATCACATGACCAAAGAACTTTGTTTGTCTCCTTCTCGTTGTTGTATATAATGTTCTACTTTCATTAGCCGTTTTCCACGCATTCACTGTTGGTTATTCTGGCAGTCCAAAGTATTCTCAACATCCTTCTCAAGAACCACATCTCAGTTGCCTCCAAACTCTTCTCAACTCTACCAGAACAATGTCCTGCTATTGTGGTATTTTTCTGACTTGCCCCCACACCATTGTCCCGAATTTTTGAGGAATTTGAATACTACGCATCACAAACTAAAAATAACCAACCAATCATGATGAAACCACATGTGTTTGGATTTACTTTGTGTGGTTTAATGTAAACAAATTCTGAAATTTCACAATGAAACGAGCGGCTGATGAACCCAGCACTTTCTACAGGAAAGTGAAGTAGGTCTAGGCTTTTCACAGTCCAACAGGTGATCGATACTTTGGTTGATTCAGACTCTGCGCAGTCATAATTTCATGAAGACTATGTTCCCAGTTGAAGTGACTCAGTCAGTGATGAGTGAGAGCTCAAATGATGAGGAGAATCTTGAAAATTATAAATCTAGAAATAGATCAATAGTAGGAGAAGGGGCGTGTCCCTCAAACAGCAACATCTGATGTTCACTTCATGAAATAAGATTGATCCTGCTGGGTGGATTGGCACTCAAAGGTGGAATATTGGCACACAAAGGTGGAATATTGGCACTAGATGAAAGGTAAACCTATTTTCTACAATGTCTCCAAGTTCTTCTTATTCTAGCCACTTGTTTGCATGTAACTTATATTTTAGTATTTCATGCTAGTTTGTTCGTGTTAATGCCCAGCAGCTCAGGTATAGGGGGCAGTTAGGTTAGGGCCTCAGGTCTGGTAGGGTTCAGACTGCAGTATGGGGCTTGGAAGTTCACAGGACAGGAAGGTTGCCAGCGGACAGAAGGGCTTTCTGGCATGTTATGATGAGAGCCATGTTCTGCAGTGGACATGCTGATGATAATTTTCCAAACTTATTTTTCATTAAATTCTCATTTAACTATTGCTTTTTTTTTTTTTTTCCAGATGCCCGATTCTTGCAGACGTGGGATTTTGTATGGAAGGTCTTGGTAATCACATCAATTTCTTGCATTCCGTTGTATGTACTGAAATACCTGAGGAAGAAGTTTTCACCACCGTCGTACTCAAAATTAAACCCTTGAAATTCGTCTAGATTAGTTCCCAATTTGCAAGCTGAAAATGGTTACTTATTGTTGAGAAAAAGACAAAAATAATGCTTTTGTTTTTACTTATGTGTGCCAAAACCAAACATTTGGTAAATAAGTATTAAAAAAACAGTGGGAAAAGTACCATCTTGAAAAAGATACCAGGTTGTCATACATTTACTAATAATTGCACCATTCTATAGTCATTTGTTTTCATTTAAAAGCTGGTACCAAGGCAGATAGCACTGTAAGTGTCAAAACATTGAACATTTCTTGTGTTACCCCTTTCACTATCAGCCAACTCATTTATTGATAACTGTACAGTCTTCAAGATTGGCTCGTAAAAAGCATCTTACCTTGGAAACTGAAATATTTTGGCTTATTCAGACACCATAGTGGACTGGAAAGAGTGGTAGCGGAAGGCATGGTACCGGGCAAGAGGGTCAGGGGCTGACCAGCATAAAGATGGGCACAGACATAAGAAGAGATTTGTGGGCAGGAAAGTGCATGAGGTGAGAGTGCTGGCAAGTGACCCAATTTCTTTCAGGCATGCTGGGATAGGAGTAACCTTCTGTACAGTATCTGCTACATGATAATGACTCAGCACCTGCGAATGGGCGTCATAATGCCTGGGTGCCGGGTTCGATCCCAGCTGTGAGCCTTACGCCTTGCGTTGGTTTCATAAGTAGTATTGAGAAGCCGACCGTCAAGAAAACAGTGGCAAACTACTGAATGTAAATTTGCCTAGAAACACCACAACAGCCAATATGTTGGTTCTGCAATGTCCTGTAAAGAATACGCAACTAACTTTTGAACATACTAATGATGGCATAGTCTTCATTTCTTAACTGTTTCTCTCCAGTTCTTCATTTATTTAAATCTATTAATGCTACATTTAGTCATTTCTACCTATGGATGTGTAACTTTTAGCTCCCCTTCCCCCATGGCTACAAGTAACTTGAAGTCCAGACCGGTCAAGAATTAGCCTCTCCACTAATGATTATTTCATGCCTTCCTATTCTTTAAATATTCTTTTTGTTTAGTTTATTGAAAAGTTATTATTTGTCTCTTTACTATGATTTCTTACGTGAAAAGGATTTATTTGGTCTCAATACAATTATAACATTTTAGAAAGATGTTTTTTTTTCATAATCGAGGGATTATAATTGATGTTATTATCATTACGTAGCAATTTCATCTACTGACCATGCACAAAAGATGTGCTTTACATAGAAATAATTAATTGAGCCAGGCTATGAATAAGTGGTGAGACGTGCATGTAATGGCTGTAATCCCTGTTGCCAGACTAAAAGAATATCTTGAAAACAAGGAGTAGGCCTAGTTGGCTTTACAGTACTACGAAAATTAATCAACAAGTTGAACTTCACTGCTAGAAAGCTTTTATCAGCATATGACACAAATAGAAAATTTGAATTCTGAAGGTTATGACAAACTGAACTGCTTGCATTTTTGCCAGCTTGAACGGAAATCCATTTTCTGTGTGATGTACTTATCTTTGTCCATTTGAATGATTCTGTTTCATTGTTGTATCTTCACCCCTTGATACATGGACATTAGAAAACTTAACTAAATTCACATTTTTTTTTATTTTTTTTTCAATTGACAGTTTCATGTTGCATTTTTTCAAGTTTATTGAAATTATTAATTTAACCTTGTATTTTTAATACGTTCTAGTACTACTGTTTAATTATTCAAAGTACCACAACTATGATAAAGGAATAGAAAATGGCATGACTTTGAACCATCTGTAACCATTTCCCATTGACCTTCGGATATCTTGCATAAAAATAGCTAACAGAAAGTAGCTAAAATTTTTAGTTCATCTTACCGCCTCTTTTTTTCTCCCTGTCATCTTTGATCTCTTGTTATGAAAATCCCTCAGTTTAAAAAGAAAAACATTTTTCAAATCAGAAATATTTTTCTGTTCTATTTTTGACATCTCCATGCCTAAAACAAAATTTGCGTCTGTCTCACCTCTGGAAATGAATTCTTTTTTTTTTTTAAAGGTGTGTGTTTTTTTTTCTTAAATGGTGGCATGTCTGCTTAGGGGTTATGAGTAGTTTCATAATTCCATTATTCTGGTTTCAATTCAGCTGCAGGCAATTTATCAGCAGACCACTGCGTGTATATTTTGACAGTCATATGAACATTGACTATTCAGAAGCACAGGCAGACTACTGAACATATAAATTGGTTAGCAGTACCATAAATAACCAGGCGGAGACTATGAGTTGGCACATCTGGCGGCTGCCTTCTGCATTTACTTTGCGTGTGAGCTTCTTCAAGATTTTTCTAGGACATATGTTTTGTTTACTAGTTTTTCAAATGGAACATTAATTACTTTTCTCTGGTTGTTCATGAATTCACCATTTAATAGCAAGACAATCATGCCTCTAGAACAGCGGTTCTCAACCTGGGGGTCAGGACTCTTTTTTAGGGGAACTGAACGACCCTTTGAGAGGGGTCGCCAAAGACCATCACAAAACACATATTTATTGGAAGTTATGAAGTGGCAACGAAAATAACTATGGCGGGGGGGGGGGGGGGGGGGGGGCGTCGCCACAAAATGAGGAACTGTATTAAAGGGTCGCCACATTAGGAAGGTTGAGAGCCCCTGCTCTAGATTTAACTCAAAACTCATATTTATTGTCCTTGAATTTACTCATTCTGTTCTATTTATTATCCTGGAATTAACTCACTGTCTGTTTATTATCTGTGAAATAACTCACTATATTTTTTTTATCCTTAAATTTACTCACTCAATCATTTTTATTATCCTTGAATTAGCCTATGCTGTCATATTACCTTTGAATAACTCACTCTGTCATATTTACAATATTTGAATTCAGTCTGTCATATTTATCATGCTTAAATTGACTCACTCAGGTGTGTTTATTTTCCTTTTGCCCAGGGCAGCTGATTTTAACTAACCCCTGTTTAGGTGCATTTATGATCTGCTTGTTAAAGGACAGAGGGTCTGTGGTTTTTTTAACCCAAAATGCTGCCCTTGATCCCGTACGGAGATTGTAAATGTTCAGGTTCCCACATATGACCCTCATTGGTTATAATCTAAAAAAAAATTATGAAGAGATCTCGCAGCCTTTGACCCTGTTGCCCCAAGAAGACTAAATCTGATGAATTTCTGTTGTGATACAGTCCCATAAATGCAGATGTGTCGGCATTTCTGCAGTGACCTGTCCTAGAATTCTTCTTCTTCTTCTTCTTCAATATTCCAAGCCCTTGAAGTTCATTGCTGCAGATATCACCCGCCTCCACTCATCTCTCTGATTGGCCTTCTCTTTCCAGTTGGTGGCATTAAGTATTTGCAGGTTTGTCTGGACATGATCTCTCCGTCGTCTCCTTGGTGGCCTCTACGACCATTCAGCTCCCTTGTGTATACAGTTTTGACCTCTCTTTCACCTGACTGTTCTACAGTAGCATAGTTAAATTCCATTGGTTCTTTGTGCAGCTGTGCTGTATTCAAGAGGTCTGGATATGAATATATTAACTCAAAATAGCTTAGGGGGGGGGGGGGTGTCCTTATGATCCTAATGGCTTTTTATAGCCATGTTGACATCAGATTTTCCATAAGCCTCAGTGATTGAGGTCACAGGGTCATGTGATACAATTATCACTAGATACCTGTTTGTTATAGACCTGGAGGTATGTATTTCATTCAGCTTTTTCTATCCCAAGGAACGAATCATACATTCATAGGTTCCTACCTAGAAGCCCAATTAATGCAAGGTGTACAGATTTTAGACTCTCTTGACTACCATTTGGGCCTCGGATGCTAAACCTCCTGGGACAAATATAGTTAGTGCTCATTTCTATTCATTTTTGTTGATTACTCCCTTTATGCATCTTTACATCTTTCAAAAACAATTTAAAATATCTAGATAAATATGAATTCGAACAAAGAAGACACAAACAATAGACTGCACAATTTATTGCCTGGCATATTTCACTGTATCTCGTCAGGTGCAAACTACAGTAACAATTGATTAAAATGAAGCAAATAAATGAATCCTAGAAACTGAAACACAAATTCGAGTACATTCTAAACTGACTTTCATTTTAATCAATTTTTACTGTAGTATGCACCTGAGGAGATACAGTGAAATATGTCAGGCAATAAATTGTGCAGTCTATTGTTTCCGTCTTCTTTGTTCAAATTTACATCGGGGAAACACTGCTTTAAATATGAATTCTTTCATGATTAGTGACCCGTGGAATATTTTTTTCAGGATTTTTAAAGGAAATTTCCATAGGTTTATGACCCATTTGTATAATGTTCCCAGGGCGAAAGGGTTCAGCCAAATGTCTGTCTGAGTTAGACCTGTGGCTAAGTCGATGTGAACGCTTCGTAATGCCGGGATGCCGGGTTCGATCCCAGCTGCGGGCATTGTGCCTTGCATTGGTTTCGACAGTGGTATCAAGAAAGTCGACCGTCCAGGAAGCAATGGCAAACTACTGAACGTTACTTTGCCTAGAAAAAAACCATACAACAGCCAGGGGCTGTTGGGGGTTGGTTCTGCAACGTCCTGTAAAGGATGCGCAACTACAATCATATTTGGCTAGAACTATATTTTATGACCAATCGGCACTCGTTGGATGGTGTGGTCATATCAAGCCAGAAATTATAACCTCATTAATTAAAAATCTTTGTGTTATCTTTCACAACAGTACGAGTGTCATAGCTTTCATAAAGCAATAGAAATTTACTGAATATAAAATTACTTTGAAAAATAAAACTTGCAACTGTCAGGAAAGGCTAGGTTTCATTTGCAAGTCTTGAAAGTTTTCTATTTCATTTTATGATTTCAACTTTTCCAGGCAACTTTTTGATTTTCTTATCCAACTTTTCTGTTCACTTATGTCATCAACTGTGCAGGCTTCAGTCAGGAAAATTTTTGTTTTTAGTTTCTGGTTTTTTTTTTTTCCTCTCTTTTTCAATTATAAAACCAGTCTGTATA